CCAGGTTTTTTTCTTTAAAAGTTTTTACTATTGTTTATTTATTTATGTTGAGAGAGGGAGAGAGAGAGAGAGAGAGAGAGAGTGAGCGAGCACACATGCACATATGTGTGAGTGGTAGAGGGGCAGAGAGAAGGAAAGAGAATCCCAAGCAGGCTCCACTCTGTCAGCATGGAGCCCAACATGGGGCTTGATCTCACAAACCTGTGAGATCATGACCTGAGCTGAAATCAAGAGTTGGACACTTAACTAACTGAGCCACCCAGGGGCCCCTGGCTCCCAGATTTTATATCAGAGTGAGAGTCTTGTAAAGACTTGCTGCTTTGGGCTTGTTAACTTGTGGAGAAGCAGAAATAAGGAAGTACACTTCCCCATTCTTCTCAATTTATAAGTCATAAATTGCAGTGACTTATATTTCTTGAATAGTTTAGTTTCTCATGGACAGACTTAGGTTTTGTATAGGTCTTTTCCATTGAGCCAATTCTAGTGCAAAGTGAAATGAAGAGTGCTTTAAAAAAAACCTCTTGATTACTCAGTGAATGCAGATGTCTTCTGTGGTGATTAACTTTATGTCAAGTTGATTGAGTCATAGTGCCAGATATTTGGTCAAACACTATTCTGGATGTTTTTGGATGAGACTTAACATTTAAACTGGTAGATCAACAGGTAATCTATGACAGAGGAGGCAGGAACATACAGCAAAGAAAAAAGAGTCTCTTCAATAAATAGTGCTGGGAAAACTGAAGAGCTACATGCAAAAGAATGAAACTGAACCACTTTCTAACACACACACACACACACACACACACACACACACACACACACACACCTTAAAATGGATTAAAAACCTAAAAGTGAGATCTAAAACCATAAACCCCCTACAAGAGAAGACCGGCAATAATTTCTTTGACACTGGCGGTAGCAGCATTTTTCTAGATATGATTCTTAAAAAGCAAAAGCAAAAATAAGCTATTAGGACTATATCAGAATAAAAAACTTTTGCATAGCAAAGGAAACCATCAAGTAGGCAAAAAAGAAACTGTCAACAAGACAAAAAGGCAACCTACTGAATGGGAGAAGAGATTTACAAATGACAGATCCAAAAAAGAATTAATATCCAAAATATATAAAGAACTTCTATAACTCAACACCAAAAAAAGAAAAAGAAAAGAAGCAAATTAAAAAATGAGCAGAAGAGCCAAATAGACATTTTTTTCCAAAGAAGACATCCAAATGGCCAACAGACAAATGAAAAGATGCTCAACATCACTAACCATCGGGGAAATGCAAATCAAATCCACAATGAGATATCATCTTACACCTGTCAGAATAGCTGAAATAAAAAAGACAAAGAATAGCAAGTGTTGATGGGATATGAAGAAAAAGGAATTCTTGTGCACTGTTGGTGGGAATGTAAGCTGGGACAGCCACTGTGAAAAATAGTATGAAGATTCCTCAAAAAACTAAAAACAGAAATACCATGTGATCCAGTAATTCTATTGGGCATTTACCCAAAGAAAACAAAACCACTAATTTGAAAGAATATGTACACTCTTCTGTTTATTGCTGCATTATTTACAATAGCCAAGATATGGATGCAACCTAAGTGCTCAGTGATAGATGAATGGATAACGATGTGGTATATGCATACAATGGAGTATTACTTAGACATTAAAAGGAATGAGATCTTGCCATTTGCAACAACACAGCTGGACTTGAACAGTATTATGCTAAGTGAAATAAGTCATTCTGAGAAAGACAAATACCGTATGATTTCACTCATATGTGGAATCTAAACAACAAAACGAATAAACAAACAAATGAAGAGCAGAATCAGACCTGTGAATACAGAGAGCAAACTGATGTTTGCCAGAAGGAACGGTAGTGGGTAGATGGGAAAAATGGAGGAAAGGGTAGAAGAGAGGCTTCCAGTTATGGAATGAATACATTTAAGGAAATAAAAGGCATGGCAAAGAGAATATAGTCAATGACATTGTAATAGTGTTGTATGGTGACAGATGGTAGGTATACTTGTGGTGAGCATGGCATATCATATAGAGACAATGAGTCACTATGTTGTACACCTGAAACTAATATAACATTTTGTGTCAACTATACTAAAAATTGTTTTTATATGACACTAATAGACAATAAAATGTAAATAGAATGCATATAATATTTTTGTTTGCTTGTTTTTGAAGATGTTCATCTAATATCTAGTTTAACATAAAATGATATTTCCAGAAACAATTTTTTAAGTTTTTTAAAATTTAAGTAATCTTGACACCCAACATGGATTTTGAACTCACAACCCCAAGATCAACTGTCCCACATTCCACTGACTGAGGTGAGCCAACCATGTGCTCCCCCCGTAACTTAACTAAAAAAATTGATAGACTGAGTAAAGCAGACTGCCCTCTATAATGTGAATAGTCTCATCCAATCAGTTGAAAGCAGAGAAGAAAAGGATAACGTTTCCTGAGCACACAGACTTTAGGATTCATCTGCAACATTGACTCTTTCTTGGTTTCTCCAGCAGATGGTCTTTTGGCTTGAATTATTAACTCTTTACTGAACCTTTAGGCTGTCAGCTTCCTGCATCAGATTTTGCGTTTTCCAAGCTTCCTTAAAATCACACACACACACACACACACACACACACACACACACACACACACACGGTTCTGTTTCTCTGGAGAACCCCGACAAATACAGCATTCTATATGCTGACAAACGAAGTTGAGATGCAACAAACGTGTTCATGCCTTTTTTGAGCCAGCACCATAACTGAGGACTGTGGACTAGAGGGTGAGGGCCTAGGATCTGAGGTCAACGGCCTGGTTCAGGTGTGAGCTCTGTTCTTTCTTAGCCCTCTGTCCTGTATCATTCACCTAAGCTTGAGAAACAATTTCTCTGGGGACCTGACCATTGCCAACCCCTAGTATATTCCTTTTCTATGACTGATGTAACAAATTACCACACACTCAGTGCTTAAAACAACATAAATTTATTTTCTTACAGTTCTGGGGGTCAGAAGTCTCAAATTGAAATGTCAAGAGGACTTCTGGAAGCTTCAGGGGAGGATGTTTCTTGCTTTTTTCAGTGTGTAGAGGCTGCCTGAAATCTGTGGATCACAGTGCCTTCCTTGCATCCCTCCATCTCCAATCTCTAGCTCCTGTTGCCACATTCCTGCTATTCTTCTGATCTCTTGCATCTCCCATAAGGACCCTTACCCAAGTAATCCAGGATAATCTCCCCATACAACACCCTGAATTTAATCACACCTGCAAAGTTTCTTGACATCTAAGGTAACCTTCACTGGTTCTGTGATGAGGCCATGGGTATCTTTCGGGTGAGGTAAGGCATTATCTGACCTACCACACCTGGACACCAGAGGTCACTGTTTACAGATCGAAGGTGAGACAGGGGAGGGATTCTGAGATTTCAGAGTTGGAACTTGAAAATTTGTGGGTTTTTGTTTTGTTTTTGAAAAGTACTCAACTATTTGCTGAATGCAGAAAGGTGCAACAAAGAAATGCTTTCTTAGCTGCTAAAGAGACAAAACGTGTTGGTACTGGATTTTTCTTCAACAGTGAAAAATCTCCTAGAGTCATCACAGAGTAAAGCTTCCCCTGCCTTAAAAAAAAATATATATATATATATAGGGGCACCTGGGTGGTTCAGTGGGTTAAGCATCTGAGTTTGGCTTAGGTCATGATATTGTGGTTCATGAGTTTGAACCCCACATCTGGCTTTGAGCTGACAGCTTGGAGTTTGGAGCCTGCCTCAGATTCTGTGTCTCCCTCTCTGCCCCTTCCCTGCTCCTTTTTCTCTATCTGTCAAAAATAAACATTAAATTTTTAAAAATAAAATAAAATAAATATAAACATGTTTTTAAAAGTATAATATTCAGATCTAGGTATACAAGTCTATGGGAATTCTTGCCGTGGCAGCTTTACTAAGTACTTCAGTCTCCTTTAAGTTACCTTTAGCAAGGGGGCACCTGAGTGGCTTAGTCAGTTAAGCGATGACTCTTGATTTCATTTCAGATCATGATCTCATGGTTTGTGAGTTCGAGCCCCACATCAAGCTCTGGACTAACAGTGTGCAGCCTGCTTAGGATTCTGTCTCTTTCCCTCTCTCTCTGCCCCTCCTCTGTTTGTCTGCATTCTCTCTCTCAAAATAAATAAACATTAAAAAGCATATATATATTTAAGTTACCTTTAGAAGGAATTTAAACCTTTTAAGATGGACCCTGAGGAGCTCCCTTAACACATATAATTCAAGTATCATAAATACACATCATCATTTGACTTGAATTATTTTATGCCCTTAAATGCTGAATACAAATTTTGAGGGAATCCACAACTTTCAGTGCTTCCTTCTTAGCTACACGGATAACTTTAGGAAACTCTCTGGCCTTTCTTTTTGGTGTATTGCTGGATATTGGGTGCTCCGAGCACTGTCATAATCTTTGCTAGGTATATACTTAGCAGAGAAAATGAAGTTTTGAATCCATAGAAAGAAGAGGACATTGAATAAATCAGTTTTCAAAAATCATCCTGACTGCTAAATTCAATGCTCAACAATTATTAGAAAGTCTATAATTTCTACTAGTCAATGAAGACTCATGGTCTGAGCCTGACTGAGGTTAAAAGTCTTGGGGACCCCAGGCTTACTTACTTATGCCTGCTGAAGGTATTCTCTCCTAGGCATTCACCTGCCTTCAGGCACAGGGCTTCAAATAAACACCTGAGACTTGGTTTAGAACTCGAAAAAGTGGAAACCTGGGTGGCTCAGTTGGTTAAGTGTCTGACTCTTGATTTAGGTTCAGGTCACAATCTCACAGTTAGTGAATTTGAGCCCCACACTGGGCTCTGCATAGACAGTGTGGAGCCTGCTTGGGATTCTCTCTGTTCCTGCCCCACATATGCTCTCCCCCCCCACCCCCAATAAATAGAGCAGCTTAAATTTTTTTTTTAAAAAAAGGAATTCCAGAAAGATTTACCTTCCCCATTCCAAGGACATTTTACTATATACATAATTATATATAATTCCTCCTCCACCACTTCCTCCCCCTCTTCTTCCTCTTCTTCACTCTCATTATTTGTCTATCTGAGATTGCCGTTGGTCAGTCAATCCAGAACCCTTTGATGAAATATCCCAGTCATGTTGAGCCTTGTCAGAAATCATTGGCTCTGTTAGTGGCTTCATTGTCCATTTTTGTGTTTTCTTGTTAAAACTTGACTTTACTGCTCAATGAAGAGCATTGTCTTTTCTTTCAGCATCAAGTGGATTGCCATCATGGAAAAGGCGGCCAACCATGTCATAGCTCCTGTTACTGTGTAAGCGAGACCTAAGAAAAGGCTACTACCCCCACTCCATGTCAGGGTGGAAAGAACAACTGATTTTTCTCCTTTGAACCTGGTTACTGGAAAATCTAAGACAAGAAGACCTGTTAAGGACCTATCTCAACACTTTTCAGCTATACTGAGGTATAGTATATCCTCAATATAGCACCAATATAGTATCCTCAATATCTGAACCACATAAATTTGTTTTGTAGGTTAAAAGAATGGTTGAATATTCAACTTCATATATTGTCTAATGTTTACCAATTGATGTGTTGTATCTTGCTGGAACGAAATTAAGTAAAAAGAAGCCTTCCCTCTCCATAGTTGTAGTCTATAAAAGAGATCCTGACACAAATAGATCAGACTGGCTTACATACAACTAAATTATAAACAAATATATTTAATGTCCTTTGGCAGACCCAAGGAGAAAAGAATACAGATAGGTTTTACAGCAAGCCAAAATTTTTGTTTATGAATCAGGAGACCCAGTGTAGGCTAAAGTCCTTCATATACAGGTTTGAATTTCTACCTGAGGCAAAAGTCTTCAAGACCAGTGAAGAAGAAAAAATAATGATATAGATGGCAAAACATTTTTGCTGGGAGAGCTAAAGGTGGTGCATTCATTTGGGTTTTGAAAAAGCAAACATCCCTCACTGCTGGGGAGAAAATGTTTGAAGTGGGTTTGCTATCGTTAGCATGTTAATGATGTCATTTTGATTATGCATGTGGTCTGAGGTTTTTAAACATCTGGTGCCTTTTGTAAACCAAACTAATAAACAAATAAAAGCTTCTCATAGCAACGGCACAGGACAGAGGCATTTCCCAGCAAAGCTCTTAAAAGGCCTCGAATCACTTGGCAACCAACATGCTATTTAAAGGCACAAGGAAGTTAACCAGTTTCCTAACAAGGAAACAAGTTCTCTTTCTTTTCCATCAGAATTCTTCACTGTCACAAGGTCCTTGGGTGCCACCTTGACCTCCTGCCTGTTTTCTCTTTCCTCAGTTCCATTAAGATCATTTCCTCACACAAAGAACATCTTTTCCCCTTTATGAGTGGTAGGTGTTTGCTGCAGCTCAGATATAGCTCTTCTCCTTAATAGCAGCCAGGCTGTAAGACAGGTTGGGTACTGCTCACATCCGGGCTCAGCATGGTGAGTGCAAGTATAGGACTGAAACTCAGGATCTAGGTTCTGCTTGCTAGATTTAAGCTTGAGAGTCCTCAGCATTAAAATATGACTGTAAGTGAAGTTACCAGAGGGGGCTTGTCTCCAGAGTATCTCCTTTGTTCGGTACACAGACTTGCCATGATTCCCCTCAACTTGAAACTCCCTGTCATGCATTGTGAGGACATGCTTTTTTTTTTCTTCCTGTTTTGTGATTGCAACTGTAACTTCTTTACTGGTAAGGCAGTCATAGACAAAGTTGGTGGGATCAGAAGGTCTAATTTGGGAGACCACTGTCAAGCAACTTTCTGGGATCAGAAGGTTTAATTTGGGAGACCACTGTCAAGCAACTTTCAATCTCAAATTTTTTTGGGGGGGGGAGTTGCTGAAATTCTACTAAAAACTTAATATTCTATGGCTTACTCTTTGATCTGTATGTATAATGTTGCATAAGAGAAAGCAGTCTGTGGCTTTCATTTTCTATTTGGGAGAAATGAAAATGAACGAACTGAAGGCAAACTGTACTCCTGATCAGTGAACAAAAAGGAGGCAACAGACTCAGAAGTAGAGATTGTGTCCCATCGGTAGGGGCATATCTGGCTGAGGGAAGTCTCTCTCCCCTGTCAGAATGGAGGTATCCACACTCCAGGAGAAAAAAGAAGAAAAGATGGAGCAGGGACCTGGAGCACATGCAGTCAATTCACTTATTCCCAAGTATTTCTCATTTAAGCTCCCTACGAGGTAAAGAAACTAAGGAGGGAATCAATTTTGTATTAGGATCCTCTGGCCTGCCGTGGGGCCCAGGAACAGCCCCTAGTCAATAGCCCTGAAGTGCTACCAGAAGTGCTGATGCCCAATTGGGTTGATGTCTCAAAGTTGTGTACAAGCCCAGGAAAGATTCTGCTTCAAGGGGAATCAGGAAGAGACTTTAAAGTCTGATGACAGTGAGCATAAATTGTTTATAAATATATAATTTTTTAAAGATAGTGTTTGGTGTCATTTTGAAATGAAGTTTTTTTGTTTTTAGATCAAGAGTTACACTTGTATTTTTGAACTAAGTAAAAAATTCAGAATTTCCTATGAAAGCATGTGCCTCCTAACTTGGACCTTATGTCTGTAACCAAGGCACTGGCTCTACTAGCTGGCTTTGTACCAAAGGAGGGAAGAACAGTATCTTCAGAGCACAGCTTACAGCATACATCACATGGGTTGGATGAATCAGACCTGCTTCTTGAGTCTGGGGCTCCCTTGGTCTATAGTTGTGCCTAGAATAAAAGGCTCTCCAGTCTCAGTTTTCATTATTTTTAGCCCATTTTCTAAATTTACCTCTTATCAAATTGCTCTCTCTTCATTACAATGGTCCTCCAACCTCATCCCATCCTACATAGTAGTCTTCTCCTCTCTGTTATAGATCTGGAGGCCCAGTGGTATTTAATCTTTCTTGGGGGATAGAAATATCCCTCCTTACTTATCCATACCTACTTACCTGATACTGCTTTACTGTTATTCCTAAAAATATATTGTACCGATATAAGGTGGAGAAAAACAGCTATAGGGTGGTAAGTGACAGTATTATCTATGAGAGAACTATGTATTTCTCCTTTATATAGCTAGATTGTAGAATAGAAAAGTACAAAATGAAATAATTCAACAACTAGTGCCCAGATGGACACTGACTTTCCTTCATCCCCAGAAACAAAAGTGGTATAAAAGGATACTATAGGAAATGTTGAAGCTGTAGTTACCGGCAGGCAAGCCATCAATAAAATACTGTATTCGACTGAGTCGACGGTATAGTTTTTTGAAAGTGGGAAAGGCAGCTGTCCGCATCCATACAATGAAGTCATCATTGAGAAAGCCATTGTTTCCTGGATCCTCTAAATCCAGTTCATATACAGGCTTAGACCAGTATGGGGGCTTTGCAGTTCCTGTGGGAAGAAAATAATGGACATGGTTGAAAGAAACCATCTATAACCAGTTAGTTTTCCTTAGAATATAGAAAATGAAATTACTTTTAAATTCTTAAGAGATGAAAATTAAGACTTAAAAAAAAAGTGTGTGTGTGTCTGTGTGTGTGAGTTCCCTGATATGCAGCCACTCAACTTTTAATGAATTAAAAAGACTCTAGAAAAATGTGGGGGAAATAATGCTGATTTGTCATAGGGTTAAAAAAGAACAGAATATAAAATTATATGTATATTATGTGTTCAACTACACTAAATGCATATAAAGCACTGAAAAAAACAGGTAGAGAAAATTATAATAACGGCTGTATTCAGTGATGTCATCATACGGGCTGTCTTTATTTTCTCTAACTTCACAGTAATTTAGAGAAAAAATTAAAACAAGGTATGATCATCTCATCTAAAACTTGGTTAATTAGTAAAGAAAAAACTAGTGATAACCCTTGATGACACAGTGGAAATAGGAACTCATACAGAGCAGAGAGATACATGGGTTAATAACATCTCTGGCAATCTAGGAACCTGCATCAAAAGGTGTGTCAAGGGCGCCTGGGTGGCTTAGTAGGTTAAGTGTCCAACTCTTGATTTTGGCTCAGGTCCTGATCTCAGTTTGTGGGTTCAAGCCCTGCATCAGGCTCTGCTCTATCAGTGCAGAGCCTGCTTGGGATTCTCTCCCCCCCACCTGCCCCTACCCTACTCATGCTGTCTCTCTCGTTCTCTTTCTCAAAACAAACAAACAAACAGACAAACCCTTAAAAAAAGGTTTAATTATATTTTGGCCTAGAAATTCTACTTCTAGAAATGTAATCCAAGGAAATAACCATGTCTGTTCATGAAGATTGTGTTAAATAGAGATTCTCTGCAATAGTGTGCCTAAGAGCTCAAAGCTGGAAGTGAAGAGGAACTGGTAAATGGGAGGAGGTGAAGAGCAAAGGTGTTGCAAGCCTGTTCTAAAGTCAGGAGGTCTAGTCAGTTCGGGTGCTGTAGGAAAGTTGGAAGCACAGGATGGAGGGCTAGCGCCAGGAAATGAGTCTGTTGCGTTTACTTTCATTCTCAGTTCCTACGTTGGGACCTACGGTGGGCATGTCTGCCTCTCCCCCTCTGCAGCAGACTCTCGAGTACAGTGTCTTCCTCATCTTTTTTTCCACTGGCACTTAGTCTAGTGGCTGGCACATAGTAGGTATTCAATAAATGCTCGATAAAGGAATGAGTGATTCCAATTAAAGCTGACGGAAGTTGATCCTAAACACTATATTGAATGTTAAAGAATGAGTTAATCATAGAACATTGTTCAATTAACTTTTCAGTTCCAGACGATTGGCCCTAGTATCTGTAGACCAGAAAATGCAAAAGAGAAAGCCACTCTTTCTAAACTCTTGACAACTGACTAAATGATTTTCTCTTAAGAGAAACTCAGTTGTGTTTTCTAAGCATGCGGTGTGGTGCCAGTAAAAGCGAGTGCTAAATGTGGTTGGATTAATCTGTTGGAAGTATATTTGTATACCTAAACACTTCCTTGGGAAATAATCCTTTGCTGGAGAAACTTGATCTGCAAATTTTGTGGAGTTCACCTATGTTGGCCCTTTCCCCAAACTTCAATCAATGTTGCTACAAGAATTTTGATAAAAAATGGTACCTGCACTGTGGACCTCACCCTCTCTCTGCCTTAGCCAGAGACATGCCCTAAGACAATGTGTCCTATGGGACACTGACACCCAAATCACCCAGGGAGCTTGTTAAAAAAATGCAGGTTCAAGCATGCCTTCTCCTATCAGCCCCTGCTCCCACTCCATCCCATTACCAAAGAGTATAAGAAGTATGGTTTAAGAGGCACCACTTTTCTTCATGTTTCAAGTTGGGCCATTTACTTTTATCCATTTATTCAACAATAAGCATTTCTTGATTGCTCACTATGTGTCAAATACCAAGGATATAAAACTTCCTAATTTCCACAAGAATTCACAGACTTGAAGTGGGGATGGCAAGTGTTCAAATAGATAATTACAGGATAATGTAGCAACTCTTAAAGGTAAGAACAAAGTATGGCAGGAAATTAAAGCCAAGGCCCCTTTGTGTTATAGGTCTGTGGTTATGTGGTAAGAAAAAAGTACAGAATGTTGCCAAGTTCCTTTCAAAAAGTAGGAATTCAGTCAGAGATCCAGTGACCATACACGTCAGTTTGTCTAAAACAGTTCCAGCATATGTCTGTTGTCTATTCTCCCAACTGACTTAGCATTTACCCCAAACAAATAATGTATTTATAATTCCATCTTTCACCTTCCAGGTCTTAACTGGTAACGTGTAAAATACCCATGTGCAGGGAATGGAGTACTTATTTTTTTTTTTTTTAACAAATAGTTTATTGTCAAATTAGTTTCCACATAACACTCAGTGCTCATCCCCACAAATGTCCTCCTCCATGCCCATCCCCCCTCCCCCCCCCATCCATCCAGTCCTCAGTTTTTGTCAGCATTCAAGAGTCTCTCATGGTTTGCCTCTCTCCCTTTCCCCCACCATTTCCGCCCTTCTTCTCCCCCTTGTTCCTCCGTCAAGTTCCTCCTAAGCCTCCTATACGTGCAAACATATGATATTTGTCCTTCTCTGCCTGACTTATTTCGCTCAGCATAACACCCTCAAGGTCCATCCATGTTGCTACACATGGCCAGATTTCATTGTTTCTCCTTGCCATGTAGTATTCCATTGTATAGATAAACCACATCTTCTAGATCCATTCATCAGTTGATGGACACTTAGGCTCTTTCCATGTTTTAGCTGTTGTGGAGAGTGCTGCTATGAACATTGGGGTACATGTGCTCCTATGCATCAGCATGGAGTACTTATTTTAATGTGTGATTAGTGAAAGATAACCAGAGACCCTTTCAATCAAAACAGAACATATTCCTGTGACCCCTGCCAGCTGTTTAACACTCTAGCTGATTAGATCATAACCTCGGTTTGGCCTGTGAGATGCATGAAGATCCCAGCCTATAAGTCAGTGGGATCAGTGGCAAACATGGGAAATGATAGGTTATGCTATACATACATGACATAGTGTGGGAAATAGATGCTAAATGGTCTTGCTGAGATTTGTCTAAACTCCCTTGCAACTGTGGCTTTATTATTTATTATGTGCAAATATGTAACTATTTTATTGTTTGGTGTCAGTTTTTATTTGTCAGTAAGTCCTTGTAGCTGTGAAGAGTTAAAAATGGAACACATACGTTTAATGTAAAATTAAGTACAGTTTCTTGAGAAAGTTGATGAATGTAAAACTTGCAGTGTTAGTTGACATTTACCCCCACAATGGGGAATCATTGTTATGTCAGTGACCAAGTGAAAATTAAAAGGCATAAATCTGCTGAAGAACATCAGAATCTACTTTAGAAATTTGTGGCTATTTTTAAGAGTGCATCCAAAGACAATGCTTTACCTCAGGTAGCTACAGAAGATCTATTTATATATAATTACGTGAGCATGACCTTGACTTTTCATTTAGATCAAATGAGCTTCTTTCTATTTTCACTTAGAGGGTTTTTTTTGGTAACAACAACAACAAAAAAGCTTTCATGTTTTGCCTCCATTACTACAAAAAGAACTTTCTAAACAGTTAAATAAGGCCAGTTTTACATTAGTGTCTTCAGATGCTTCAAACAGAAATATCAGAGAAGTTAATTATAATACTGGTTATTTTTTCATTATCATCATATATGTTATGGTGATCTGTCCAGAGATTATGACTCACTGAAGGATCAGATGATGATTAGTATTTTTTAGCAGTAAAGCATTTTTTAATTAAGGTATGCACATTGGATTTTTAGATATAATTCTATTGCTCACATACTAGATTATGGTATAGTGTAAACATAACTTTTATACTCACTGGGAAACCAAGAAATTAATTTGACCTGATTTATTGTGGTATTCACTTTATTACGGTGGCCTAAAACTGAACGTATATAAATAAATGTGGACAATTAAAAAAAAATTATAATACTGGTTTGATTTTTCATGAATCAAAGTAAAGCTTTTTGAAATTCAATCTTGAAAGATAAAGCCTCTAATATTATAATAAATTGACACTAAATTCAGTTAAAACATTCAAACAGCAAGTAAATTTTTGCTTTGTAGTGATAACATAAGTAAAAATTTGTGAGCACAATATTAGAATAAAGATAATGTTCTTAATAAATTGAGTAATTTACAGAGCAACATTCTTAAAATTGGTTGTGGCACATACATAATTTATAACTATATCCAAACAAATGACACTATTTTACCAATCAAAAGAAGGACTGTAGTCATGCAAATTTACATATTTTTGAAACTGACCTGTAAAATTTTTACAATAATATGGATGTTAAATTAAAGAAATACTTCAGCATGGTGTGTGGTGTGTCTTTGCTATGTTTTATCAACCAGAATTTTAGAAATGTTTGAGCCTTTGAAGAACTATTTTATATATCAAAAGATGGGTCCTACAATGATCCTAAACTTTTTTGGTAAATAAGCCCTCTAACTTTTGGTTGAATTTAATTCAAAATAGTTGAAAAATTTTAAACAAAGTATCCAAATATGGAATGTCAAAAAACTTTAGTTTTTGATTTAGTGAATTATGATTATTGAAAGCCAAGCTTGCAAACAAGAAGATATTAAAATTTACCCCCAAGAAAGCAGGAAATTATTGAACATATTACATAATAAGAATTCAACATATGTACAAATTTAAATCTTAAGTTTTATAATTGTGGGGCACCTGGGTGGCTCAGCTGGTTAAGCATCCAACTTTGGCTCAGGTTATATCTTACGGCTCATGGGTTCAAGCCCTGCGTCGGGCTCTCTGCTGACAGCTCAGAGCCTGTAGCCTGCTTCAGATTCTGTGTCTCCATCTCTTTGTGCTCCTCCCTGACTCACATTTTGTCTCTCTCTCAAAAATAAATGTTTAGAAAAATTCTATATACTTTGGAGTATTTCAATTTGTGTAAAAACTCTTCTGATGGAGCTCCTACTTTATTTATGTAGTTATTGTATTTATTTCTTTTCTTTTTTTAAAAGTAGGCTTCATGCCCAGTGCAGAACCCAACTCAGGGCTTGAACTCATGACCCTGAGATCAAGACCTGAACTGAGATTAAGAGTCAGACACATAACCAACTGAGCCACCGAGGTACCCTGGAGCTCTTATTTTTAACTGAATAAAATTTTTTTCTCTGCCAGAATTAAATGATATCAAGAAGGTTTAAGATTGTATAGCATCTAATCTTAGGAATGCACTTAGAATAATCAGAGATAGAGAAAAACATGAAGTAAAAAGTGCCTATGAAAATATTTAGATTATAATACTAGCATATCTCAATACAAAAAATTGAAATGAAAATATCTTCTATTTAGTAAAATTAGTTGTGAGCATAATAGGTACCTTAGCACTTACATTTTCTAGTTAAGAAAAATATAGGGTTAAAAGAGAAGAATCAATTAAAGGTGTCAACAATTTCAAATTGGTTAACCATAAAGTTTAAAAAAGATTGCAGATAATTTTGTGAAAAAGTTAAAAATAATAATTTTTCTTCTTTTCATTTTTGTTTCAGAATTATTTAATGTCCAGTTTATTTTTTAAATTTTATAATAAAATTATTTTTTAAATTTAAATTAAAATTAGTTAACACACAGGGTAGTGTTGGCTTTGGGAGTAGAACCTGTGATTTATTTCTCAGATATGACACTCAGGGCTCATCACAAAAAGTGGCCTCCTTAATGCACATCACTCATTTAATTCATCCCCGCACGCCACCCCTTCCAGCAATCCTCAGTTTTTTCTCTGTATTTAAGAGTCTCTTATGGTTTGCTTCCCTCTCAGTTTTTATCATATTTTTCCTTTCCTTCCCCCATGTTCATCTGTTGTGTTTCTCAAATTCCACATATGAGTGAAATCATGATATCTGTCTTTCTCTGACTGACTTATTTTGCTTAGTATAATACACTCTAGTTCCATTCACATTGTTGCAAATAGTAAGATTTTATTCTTTTTCATTGCAGAGTAATATTCCATTGTATGTATATGTACACACACACACACAGACACCTACACACACACACACACACACACCACATCTTCTTTATCCATTAGTCAATGCACCTTTCTGGGGCTCTTTCCATAATTTGGCTATTGTTGATAGTACTGCTATAAACAGGGGGGTATAAGTGCTCCATCAAATCAACATTTTTGTACCCTTTGGATAAATTTCTGGTAGTGCAATTGTTGGGATGTAGGGTAGCTCTATTTTTAATTTTTGAGGAAACTTTATACTGTTCTCCCACATGGTTGCACCAGTTTGCATTCCCACCAACAGTGCAAAAGGGTTCCCCTTTCTCTGCATCCTCACCAGTATCTGTTATTTCCTGAGTTGTTAATTTTAGCCATCCTGACAGGTGTGAAGCAGTATCTCCTTGTGGTTTTGATTTGTACTTCTCTGATGATGAGTGATGGTGAGTGTCTTTTTCATGTCTGTTAGCCATCTGGATATCTTCTTTCAAAAAGTGTCTGTTTATGTCTTCTGCCCATTTCTTTACTGGATTATTTGTTCTTTGGTTGTTGAATTTGATATGCTCCTTATAGATTTTGAATACTAACCCTTTATCTGGTATGTCATTTGCAAATATCTTCTCCCATTCTGTCGGTTGCATTTTAGTTTTGTTGATTGTTTCTTTGCTGTGCAGAAGCTTTTTATCTTGATAGGATCTCAGTAGTTCATTTTTGCTTTTATTTCCCTTGTCTCCAGAGACATGTCAAGAAGCTGCTGCAGCTGAGGTCAAAGAGGTTGCTGCTTGTTTTGTCCTTTAGGATTTTGATGGTTTCCTGTGTCACATTTAGATCTTTCATCCATTTTGAATTTATTTTTGTGTATGGTGTAAGAAAGTGGTCCAGTTTCTTTCTTCTGCATGTCAATGTCCAGTTCTCCCAGCATCATTTGCTAAAGAGACTGACTTTTCCATTGGATACTCTTTCCTGCTTTGCCGAAGATTAGTTGGCCATGTATATGTGGGTTCATTTCTGGGTTCTCTATTCTATATCATTGATCTATATGTCTGCTTTTGTACCAATACCATACTGTCTTGATGATTACAGCTTTGTAATACAGCTTAAATTGCAGACTTATGATGCATTCAGCTTTGGTTTTCTGGCTATTCGAGGTCTCTTCTGGTTCCATACAAATTTTAGGATTGTTTGTTCTAGCTCTTTGAAGAATGATGGTGTTATTCTGATAGGGATCATATTGAACATATGGATTGGTTTGGGTAGTATTGACATTTTAATAATATTTGTTCTTCGAATCCATGAGCATGGACTGTTTTTCCATTTCTTTATGTCTTCTTTAATTTCTTTCATAAGATTTCTATAGTTTATAGTGTACTATCTTTTACCTCTCTGGTTAGGTTTATTCCTAGGTATCTTATGGTTTTTGGTACAAAAATATTTTTAAAGTAACAGAACAGATTCATTAGAAAAATAAAGAGGCATGTGGGTTGCCTGGGTGGCTCAGTTGGTTAAGCGTCCAACTTCAGCTTAGGTCATGATCTCATAGTTCATGAGTTCAAGCCCCACATTGAGCTCTGCATTGACAGCTCAGTTCCTGGAACCTGCTTTGGATTCTGTGTTTCCCACTCTCTGCCCCTCCCCTGCTTGCGTTTTCTCTTTCTCTCTCAAAAATAAATAAATAAACATTAAAAAAGTTATAAGAAAAAGAAAAATACAGAGGCATGTAATGAAGACAGATGTGGCTAAGAACCTGATTAAAGTATGTGCCTACCCATAATAATTATTCTGCTTATGTTATTTTTTAATGTTCAAATAATAAAGTAGGTTTTTAAGTTGCTTTAATATATACAGATATGTCATCTTAATTTTTGAAAGAACTGCAATTTAAAATAGTTTGTATACATTTATTTTAAGGGTCCACCAAAAGGGTAATGTCAATTATTGATAAATAAATACAAATTTCAAACAAACATTTGCCTTTACTTATTCTAGTCGCCCCTTTTACTCTTAAAAGTATACCAGTTTGGACAATAAATTACATGTTGACCCTAATTATAGATTAAGCAAAAGTTTTTTCAAACATTGCCTTTTTCCAAATGATAAATTGAAAGGAACCAGGGCACCAATCATTTCATGTTTCTGATAGGTATGTGATGGAGGTGCCTACAGGTAGGGAAAGTTAGAGTAAAACGGAGGTCAACAAAAAGTAAAGAAGGAGGTATCACAAACATTTCCCCATGCATGAAAATCAAAGTTTCTATAAATAGGTAAGAATATTTATCTAATATATGGTCTTACCTGCAAATGCACTAGAAAGATTAATGGTACTTGGATTCTTAAACTTGACATACTTATCTGTCCACCATGTAATTCCACTCCTTAGCATTGGGACTTTGATATGTATAGATGAATTAAGGTTGTATGAAAGAATAATGGTATCTGTAAGGAAATTAAAAATTGTGTTACCGATATAAGCAAGCATTTTTGCCCCACTTCAAAGTACAAAACCAGACACAGATGAAAAATAAACTAGGGTTTCATCAGACTCTCAACATGCTTACATGCAATAGATGTTGGAATTACACGACTATTATTTTTCTTGCCAAAGCTCCAAATATTGGAAAATACTGTCAAGCTCCATTTAGCTCATGTTCCCTAACTACTTCAAATCTCTGGTAAGGGAGAGCTTATTTGCAAATGAAATACCATAAGTCAATGGATAATGTATACAAAAAGTTTTCTTGAACTGCCAGTTGCAGAGTTGATCTTCTGGACATTTAGGTTATTACACACTTATGAAAAGGCACACCATGGAAACAGGAAAAGTCACCTACCATTGAATATGCTGTTGGCAATAGCACCACAAGGAACGATGGGGGTCCCATTGTGGGACCTGCTAAATGGAGCACAGTTTCCAACATCCTGGATGCAAGATGATACAGTAAAGAGAAATGCTTTGGTGAACTCTCTGAGAATTTTAAAAGTGAGAACCCTGGCAAAGTAAAATAACCCACACTAATTTATTCCCATATAACAAGATTATGGATTGCTACCAATTTTTCTTAGACTTCTGGCTCATCTAGACTCAGAAAGCTTTGTGTTCTGGAGATGTGTGTGTGTTTGTGTGTGTATGTAGTTTTCCCCCCTTATTAATTTTTTAAATGTTTATTTATTTTTGAGAGAGAGAGAGAGACAGAGAGGCAGAGTGGGAGTCGGGGAGGGATAGAGAGAGGGAGAGGTACAGAATCTGAAGCAGGCTCCAGACTCTGAGCTGTCAGCACAAAGCCCGACATGGGACTCAGACTCACAAGCCATAAGATCACAACCTGAGCTGAAGTTGGACGCTTAACTGGCTGAGCCACCCAGGGGCCCCAGTTTCTCCCCCCTTATTAACAATACATAACATACCAATATATCTGCAGAAAGGAACAACTTGCTGGCTGTGCTAAATACCACACTAAGCTACACTGAAATACATTTTTAAACCATTTTTTGTTGAAGTGTAATTCATATTCTGAAACTATACATGGTGAGTCTATAGAGCTGGATGACTTATCACAGGGAATCCATACACCTAACTACCAGAATATATCTAAAAATAGTGGTTGCTATAAAATCAGTTGATTATCACTTTCATATAATACTCTCAGTATGGAAAAGATTTCCTTCTAGCTTTTTTTTTTGCTAGCATGCTGGGTATCATTTATCTAGAGTAAAATTTTATATCCTAGGTGAGAAAAGATATTTAATTAAACCAAAGTCTTTTAAGCAATCAAGTATAGCTCAGTTTCCTTAAACTGGGCTGGAGTGAAGGTCCCAATGATTGGAAGGACAATGGTAGACACACAGGGAACTGGACTGAGACCAACCACTCAGAGTTACTACCAAAATGGCTGATGCAGGAAAGGATAACCATTTAATTGGACAAGATTCACAATACTGTTCTGAAGAGGGAAACCACTCTTCTCAGGTAGCAGTTAACAGAAAACCCAGCTCCTTCAAGTTCTGCAGGAATAAAATATGCATTCCTGTCTTGTAAAACTTTAGGTTTTTAGCTTATTTTCCATACTCGCTTTCAGAGTAAAAGATCCACCTGGTTTTTTTTTTTTTTAAAAAAGGAGTATTATACCAAATTAAATAAAGTCTTACCTTTAAATCTGTACCCACCAGTTGGCTATTACTTCTGGATAGAATATACTGATAGAGATTCTGATAGAAGCCATATAATTTGTAGTACAAATAAACATTGCCCTGTAAAGGATAAAAGCAAGAAGAAGAGAGTAAGAAGAAGTAACTAGAATATTAATAAACATGGACAGAATTTTTGTAATAAAAAGTACCACAGAAAAAGTTGATGAGAACTGGAAATTTTTCTTTAAAAATTTTTAAAAAAATTTTAGATAGAGAGCGAGCACAAGTGGAGGAGTTCCAGAGGAGAAAGAGAGAATCTTAAGTAGGCCCCATGTTACCCCTGAGCCTCATGCAGGGCTCGGTCCCACAACTCTGGGATTATGACCTGAGCTGAATTCATGAGTGGGATGCTTAATGGACTGAGCTACCCAGGTGCTCCGGGAACTGAAAATTTCCTTTATATCAAACGGAAACCCAAGAAATCATTTTAAAATTTCAGTGTTGGAAAATCCTCATTTACAAAGAATTATTAAAATAACCAAGTAAATTATTTTCAATGTTTTTGTAAGGGCTACTATGTTCCTGCCATGAAAAGATTTTAAAACCAAGCTTTGTATTCTCAATATATAAAATTGATGTTACAAATATTGTTATTTCCTAGCAATACTAGGAAAAATGCTTTCCCTAGGAGTTGTGGTAGGTGTCAGTCAATGATTTCAAAGCACATCCTTGAACATATTTGAAGCTGGAGCCACCTAGCATATTTGGGTGCATGTGAAAGCCATGAGATTAGCTCTTTGTGGTCTGTCTGACTCTAGGGGTTTTGTCTATCTTCTACAGTACCTGGCACACAGTACTTGTTAAAGAAATGGTTAACCATTCATTATGGGAAAAAAAAAAAGGAGAATAGTAGAACTCATGGATCTGAAAGAATGGTGATTTTCATCTTAGTGATAAGTCACCTTGTTGCTATGAGAGATGGTCCTTTTCATGTATGCTGTCCTATGAGGCTGCCTCATCACAGGCTACCAGCATGCTTATCTTTACAGTGACATACCGAAATTCCCTAGGCCAATTTGATACAGATTTTACTAACAGCATATATGATGCAAATGGAAATGACCAATGTGGCTGTTTATAATTAACATACTACCTACCTCCAAAATAATGAAGGCCTGCATCTAAAAATATGAAGGCTTTTATTAAGTGCTCTCCATATGTTAGATGCTATATTCATTGCTAGAAATACAAATGTATTCCTTTACAATCTCCTGAGTCAATTGATTCTCCTATACTAATGGCATTTTGGAAAGCCTTCTCGTTTCACATGGACATTTAAGTGGGTAAGTATGGAAAATGTGAGCTGGTACTCAGGGTAGGCTGGAAATAAGGGTCATGGTAACTGTGGCCAATTACAGAAAACAACAAAGGCTAAAGAGCTTAGTCACTTGTAAGAGAAAAGTGTCTGGAACATCAAGAAGGGGGAGATTCTGGGTCATGACAGAGAGGCAGGCTGCAACACCATAAACAGACAGCACTGGTGTGAAGGCAAGCAAGTCAGGCAGAGCAGGAATGACTGATTACATTTCCTCACCCAACGAGGAAACCTCTATTGTTGACCCATAACTATAGAAAATATGAAACCCAAAGAGTGGAATTTACCAAACATTTTCTTGGAAGCTAAAAAGAGAATTCCACTTACCCAAAGTTATATGTTCATATAAAGGACAAAATAAAGAGGCAAAGAACACTCACCACACCGGGGTGTTTTAATAACCTTTTTTTCAATGATTCTTTGTCCAAGATTTCACTTAACAAGGCCTCCCAGACCATCATCTTTTTTATTGTTCCTAGAGGCATAAGGCACTTTATGGTGTTATTTCTCTTTAAATTCAGTGGCACTTTGTTCAGGATTCCTAGTTTAAGGCAGTCGAGTGTGAATTCATTGAGTAGCATGTGTAATGTGTGCTAACAGGTGAACCGAAGGCCCTGTGGTTGCCCTAACTAGTTTGGTTGGAGTTTTATGAGAAAGTCTTCTGAAAGGAATGGTCAGCAGCTGGTAACATTTATTTGACTTAAAGGTTTCAAAGGATACAGACAGATGGGAATTGAAGCCCTTTAAGATTTTATCTTTTTGGGGCACCTGGGTGGCTCAGTCAGTTAAGCATCTGACTTTGGCTCAGGTCATGATCTCATGGTTCGTGGGTTCAGCCCTGCATTGGGCTCTGTGCTGGCAGCTAGCTCTGAGCCTGGAGCTGGTTTCAGATTCTGTATCTCCCTCTCTCTCTGACCCTCCCCTGCTCATGCTCTCTCTCTCTCTCTCTCTCTCAGAAATAAATAAAACATTAAAAAAAAGATTTTATCTCTTTTATTTTTTTCTTCAAAAATTTAAGTACTCTGAGCCCCAGGAAGGAATCAACCCTGCTGACACCTTAATTTCAGACTTTGACTTCCAGAAGTGTGAAAGAATGGTTTTCCATTGTTTTAAGTATCCTCTCAATTAAGCAACATTAACTATTTTTTTTCAATTGAAGTATAGTTGATACCCAAAGTTACATGAGCTTCAGATGTACAACATAGTAATTTGACAAGGCTACACATTATGCTATACTCACCACAAATGTAGCTACCATCTGTTACCACGCAATTCTGTAACAACACAATTGACTATATATACCCTATGATACACCTTTCATTCCTGTGACTTATTCACTACATAAATGGAAGCCTGTATCTCTCATTCACCTTCACACATTTTGCCCATGCCCGCCACTCCCTCTCCTCTGTCCATCACCAGCTGGTTCTCTGTGTTTATGAATCTGTTTCTGCTTTTAAATCAACACTTTTTTTTTTTTAAAGTTTATTTTGAGAGAGAGAAAGAGAGAATGAGTGGGAGAGGGGCAGAAAGAGGAGAGAGAATCCCAAGCAGGATCTGTGCTGCCAGCATGGAGCCTGACTTGGGGCTCCATCTCACAAACCATGAGATCATGACCTAAGCCAGAAACCAAGAGTCAGATGTTCAGCTGACTGGGCCACCCAGGCACCCCATAAACAATACTTTTACTTTGGGGAAGCAGCATGGTGAGTTGAGGAAGGCAAGAGAGGGCATAGCTACAGAGAACTAGAATTTTGATCTATAAGAACACTTATATAAAACTTCCCTTACTGACTTTGTGCATATCACTATGACCCAAGGAAAACTCAATAATTTCTTTACAGTTTATATCTGACTTGTTTACAAAATTGATCAGGGGTACCTGGGTGGCCCAGTTGCTTAAGTGTTCAGCTCTTAATTTTGGCTCAGCACATGATCTCAGGTTTCTACACTGGCAGTCCATAGCCTGCTTGGGATCGTCTCTTTCCTTCTCTGTCTGCCCCTTCCTTGCTTGCATGTGTGCTTTCTCTCAAATAATAAATACATAAACTTAAAACATTGATTAGCACTAGCCACAATCAATATAGATGTATTCAGAATATTACTAATGCCAGTATGCTTTCTTTTGGGATCATGGGGGAAATAAGAAAGGGTCACATAAAACCAAAGCTTCCCAGAACATAAAGCCATATAACTTAGCACTTTATCTTTCTTCCATTCATTTAATCTTTCAACAAACATTTTCTGAGCATCTGCCACATAAAATATACTGTGTAGGCACTGTGGAGGAAGCAAAGATTCATATGTTCATTCAATAAACATTAACTGAGCACCTACAGTGTGCCAGGCAAATTCTAGGTGCTTGGGACACAACAGTGAGAGATAGACAATAAATAATATGTATCATAAGCTATTAATTTATATGGTAAATTAGAAGGTGATAAGTACTAATGGAAAAAATTTAAATTACAGCAAGTTAACTAAGATCAGGAGTATTACAGGGGTGAGTTGAGTAGCTAAGTTGCAGTGTGAAGTGGGATGGCCATGTAGACTTCATTGCAGAGAGGGTTGAGCCAAGACCTAAAGGAGATAGGGCAGTTACCCAAGTGTATATCCAGTACAGGGGACAAGGCAAGAGAATGCCCGACTTGTTTAAGGGGTGAGGGGCCCAGTGTGGTGAGAGCAGGGTTGGGGGAAGAGAATGGAGGGATTAGGTCAGAGAGGAAATAAGATATCAAATCATGTAAGACTTTGTAGGGACTTAAGATTTTTCACGGAGTAGAAAGAGAGGCCATTTGAGGGATTCCTTGTTTATTTGTAATCTCTTTACCTAACATGGGGCTCAAACTCACAACCCCGAGATCAACACTCGCATGCCCTTCCAACTGAGCCTGTGGAGTGCCCCCACTGCAGGGATTTTTTTGAGCAACGAAATAACATACGTCTTAGGCTTTAAGTCCTCACTCTGGCTGCTATGTTGAAACATGGGTATAAGCAGGGAGGCCTGTTAGGATGCTATTTCAGAAATCCAGGTGAGTGGATGCAGCATGGAGGTGGGTGGCGGTAGAAGAGGTGGGAGAAGTGGACAGACCCTGGGTATGTGTTGAAGATAGAGCCAACAGGATGGATTGGATGTGAAGTATCAGAGAATAAAGGGAGTTGCAAATCACTCCTAGGCTTTTGGCCTGAGTACCAGAAGGATGGAGTTGTTTTCTTTTTTTTTTTTTTAATTTTTTTTTTAATGTTTTATTTATTTCTAGGAGAGAGAGAGGGAGACAGCGTGAGCAGGGGAGGGTCAGAGAGAGAGGGAGTCACAGACTGAAACAGGCTCCAGGCTCTGAGCTGGCAGTCAGCACAGAGCCCGACGCGGGGCTCGAACCCACGAACCGCGAGATCATGACCCAAGCGAAAGTCGGACGCTCAACCGACTAAGCCACCCAGGCGCCCCAGATGGAGTTGTTTTCAACTGAGATTGAGAAGACTTTGGATAGATTAGGCTTTGTTTGTTTGTTTTTTGGGGGGTGGAGGGGGAGTGCAGTGGATAAGGGAAGCGGAAACCAGGAATTCAGTTTTGGAACTGTTGACTTCAGTTATCTATTAGACATCCACATGGTAACATTAGGAAGGCAGCTGGAAATACAATTGTGGATTTGGAAAAGATGCTTCGGATAGAGATATAAAATGATGTTGGCAAGAGATGGCATCTAAAGTCTGAAGACAGATGACATTTCCAAAAAAGTGAATGCAGTTAGAGAGGAGAAGACTGAAGATTAGGACTAAAGCCCTGTGGATCTCAACATAAAGAGTTTGGGGGAAAAGGAAGAACAGCAAAGGAACCAAAGAAGGACAACCAGAGGGCTAGGAGGAAAACCAAGACAGTGTGGTATCCTGAAAGAGATAAGTATATCAAGGATAAGGAAGTGGTCACCTGTGCCCAATGAGTGACAAGGCACTAAAGACTGACTGCTGGATTTATCAACATGGAAAGTCATTGGTTTCCTCACAATTTCACTGAGTGTTTGGGGTAAAAACCTAATTGGGCTGGGTTTAAGAGAGAATGAGTAGAGAGGAATTGGAAGTAGCCAAGATAGATAACTTATTTGAGGAGTTTCCTGCTAACAGGATGAAATGGGCCAATAGCTGGTAGGGAAATTGGGAGAATAGTAGAGTAGTTTATCTGCAGAGAAGGGAAATAATGTTTTATATGCTGGGGATGATTGAAGAGAAAGAAAAGCTCGTGATATATGAGAGGACAGAACTGCTGAATTAAGTCCTTATAAAGGCAAGGAAAATGACCTCTATGACCTCTATGCTTATCTCTATGGAGATAAGCCTTCAAGATTGGAACTGGGATAGTTTATCAATGGTAACAGGAAAGAAGATTGTGTAGTGCAGATACTTGTGAGTGAGTAGTTGTGGTGTGACAGGCAGAGCACGGTCCTTTGAGTAGGGGAAACGAGTCCACAGGATATCATACAAGTGATTGTAAGTTCATCAGAGGAATGAATGAAAGCAGTGCTCCCAGGAAACAAATGTGAGCAAACTGTTTCTGGAGACATGAGTGGAAAGGAAGCTCAAGGAATGCTTACAAATGTTAGATGTCTAAAACAGGTGGCAGTGAGTGGGGAGACTTTCCAGCAAATTAACAGCAGAAACACAGAGAGTTGTATAATGCAAAAGCAAGTTGGCCAGTTGGCAGACATACAAGGTCTCCTTCTTCCTTTATCTTTTTATGAAAAGTGGGCCTCAGTTGGTCAAAGAGCAATCTGTAAGAGTGCTTTTTTGGGGGCAGGGAGGACAGTGAACTGATTTTACAAATAATAGCTAGTTTAAAGTAGGGAAAACCAGGGGTGCCTGGGTGGCTGTCAGTTAAGCGACCGACTTTGGCCCAGGTCTATGATCTTGTAGTTTGTGAGTTCGAGCCTCACGTGGGGCTCTGTCCTGACAGCTCAGAGGCTGGATCCTGCTTCAGATTCTGTGTCTCCCTCTCTCTCTACCTCTCCCCCTTCCCTTCTCATGCTCTCTCTGTCTCAAAAATAAAGAAAAAAAAAATAAAGTAGGTAAAACCAAAGGCTAGGAGTGCAGTTAGTTACCTCTGATACTGGACCAGGAGGTTTGAGTTGAGGCAATGCCAAAATAATGAAGGCAACAGCGTGGTTGGAGAGATGGATTGAAGAACACTGCCCACACATCAGAGGCTTAGATGGAAAAGGAGCAGGCAGGTTAAAGTCACAGAGGGAAGTTTAGAGTCTTGGTGATGGGATATTTACCAGAAAGGGAAGTGAGGAAGGTTTTTCAGGAGATGATGGCGAGTCTGGTTTGGAACCAGCTGAGTTTGAGGTGGAAGCAGGGCCTTGAGGTGGGTAGCTCAACGGGAATGCTCAGTGGAAATCTCAAGAGAAGACCCGCTTATACTTAGATTCATTCCGTGTATCTATGAAAGGGAGAAGGATCAACCAGGTCAGGGAGGAGGACACCATTGGTGGAGGCGTGTGGCATCCAGAGCATAGGATAGGACCTCTGAGGAGTTCAAGGAAATAGTTTTTCATTTCTCGAGTACCAAATAAGATAAAAGATGCCTCTGAGATCTCCTACTACAGGGATGGTAATTGAGGGATGACCCTAACTGTCATGCTCTGAAATCATCCTGTGTTTGCACCAAGGCCATGATGCCCCTGGCTGCTCCCAATGGCTGAGCACAGGAGGAATACTGAGGCAGGATCCTTTAGGGACTCTATTGGCCTTGCTGAAACTTTCTAAAGAGAACACTGCAGTCTAAGACCTTTCTCCCTCCTTCCTTCCTTCCTCCTTCCCTCCTTCTCTTTCTCCTGTGTCTTTCCCCTTCCTTCTCCCCTTCCCTTTTGTTCACAGGGGTCAGAGCAGTGTTGTGGTCTGACAGCTCCCCCAATCTCCTCTGGCTCTAGCCCCATTTTTCCTCACAGGCAGTTCCTCCAATAAATCTCTTGCATGTCTAATTCTGTCTTGGCATCTGCTTCTTGGGGGACCCAGACTAACAGAAGACTTTAATCAGTCCAAGAGCAGGGACTTCTCTTAATATTTCTTTGGCACTTCTCAGTGCCTGACAGTGAGCACGGCCAAGAGTTGCCTTAGGAATTAGAAAATTGTATATGTAGAATGACTTGGGGGTGGGGTGGGGGACATAGGGGGAAGGAAGGACAGTCCTAGCAGGTATGTGACCCCTGACACTAAGTCACTTTTTGACCTCTCAGCCCTAATTTTCTCACTATTAAAATGAGTGGTTAGACTCAAAGATCTCTATGGTCCCTTCTTTGGGTTGACATTTGGAATAAAGTCTGATTGATGTTAAGAAATATGTTTGAAAGCTGGGTGGGTAAAGAGTCTGGAAACTTAGAAACAAAGAAGAACAGCATTCGAAAGGAAAAAAGTAGGGGGGGGAGTTGTGCATGAACTCAACACTTTGTAAGATCCCTCACCTCCACCCTGCTTTATTTTTTGTGTTTTCAGATTTGGAGAGCACTTGATGGAAATCATGAACTTACTGCCAAATATGAAATAGGAGAAGATCAGTGTATAGCCAATTGAAGGCTCTTGAATTTCACTTACCTTCATTGTCTCTGAAAGGTAAAAGGGAATAGAGCAGGTGCATTCTTTGTCAAAATTAATAGCATCTTCTCGCAGTTCTGCACAATTTCCACATGTTTTTGTATATTTAATCTATCAGACAGGGAGAAGAACAATTATTAATTAAAAACTTACATGACTAAATTTCTTAAAAATCAAGTCCTGAGTCCATCTAAGACTTCAAGCCCTCTGGGTCAAGGACATGGACGCTTGGACATGAATAAACAGCCTACTGTTGCGGATAAAAGTGTTTCTGCAGATGCTTGGGAGGAGTGGGCCTTTTTACAGCCTTTCATTTTGAGACCTGACCTGGAATTCAGTGTTTCTGTTGCATATTTATATAACCTGTTGTGATGAAGGCTCATGTCTCCATCATAAAGAGGTGTCATTAGGAAAATATTAGTCAATGACTCACAAGAACTGGGCCTACAGCCTGAGGCTAATCAGCTTTATGGGGAAGTCACTTCACTGTGTTTCCATTCTATTGTATGGAAAATATTTATACTAATGAATTTTTCTACATTACAGCTAGAGGAAGTTATTAAAAAGGATAAAACACAGAAAAGAAGTGCTTCCAAAATGTAGGGTTATTTATATATGTGGAATAATTCTGACTTTAAATGTTACCACATTCTGTTTTTTGAGTTATATTCTATGAAAAATCGTATAGGGGCCTCTTTCAAAAAGGGTGGTGTGTTTCAAATGAGCAAATCCTATGAGCTGTGGCTGAGAGCCTCAGTTATGTAAAGATACAGCTGGAAGAAGCTTAATGAAGGAAGGCTCAGAGAGGTACAGAGGCTCTGCATTTCCCATATGCTTCTTCCTCATTGTGCTGAAGAATAATTATGGGAATGGGGAAGAGCAGGAAAGCAAGGGAGTGGCCTTCTCCTTGGTAAACTGCCAATGGGATTTAGGATTCTTTGGGAGGGAAGACTAACAAGAAAGATAGGATTTTTTAATCCTTGCAAACCACTGGAGTTTTGAAGCCAAATAGGCAAAGTATTAGTACTAAATTAAAGATGAGCCAAAAAGCTACCCAACTGTACCTAGATGCTTATATCTACTTAAATCTTCAATTTAATTAATTATTAAGTCATTCTTTAAATACACAGAAAGGCTTGAATTATTATTTTGGAAAATATTGATGCCCTTGCTATTTGTGAAACTGCATTCTGATTTTTAAAAGCTTTAATGACCCCCCCCCCAGTTTATTCTCTATTGTTAAGAGTCAGTTGTGATTTGTTTCCCTCTCTCCTCTTCCCCCCTCTTCCCATATGTTCATCTGTTTTGTTTCTTAAATTCCAGATATGAATGAAATCATATGGCATTAAAAAAAAAAAAATAAATAAATAAAAGCTTTAATGAACAGGTCTGTATCAGAACTGAAAGCACACTAAACTGTGACTGAGGAAACTGGGGTTTAGTTCAGACAATCTCTGACCTTGAGTTACATAGTTAACCTCCAGGGCCCACACTTTGTTCATCAGCATTATTTTGTCTAGCAATTAATCTGTGAACCTGTTGTAGTAGTATACATTCTGCTCCCTGCATTCTTGAGTCCTATTAATGCAGAATTAGAAAAAAATGATAATCTTTGAGTAGATGATATCTAAGGTCTTTTCTAGCTCTAAAAACTTTATGAGGTAGCCAAACCATGGAAGCAGCCCAAATGTCCATCAACTGATGAATGGATAAAGAAGATGTGGTATATATGCAATGTAGTCATAAAAGATAATGAAATCTTGCCATTTGTTATGACATGGATGGAGCTAGAGAGCATAATGCTAATAAGAGAAATAAGTCAGTCAGAGAAAGACAAAAATTATATGATTTCACTCATATGTGGAATTTAAGAAACAAAACAAATGAGCAAAGGAAAAAAAAAAAGAGAGAGAAACAAACCAAGAAACAGACTTTTAACTATAGAGAACAATCTGATGGTTACCAGAGGGAAGTCAGGGGCAGGGGGATGGGTGAAATAGATGACTAAAGAGTACACTTATCATGATAAAAAAAAAATGTACGAGGAAACATATTTCTGATCTCTTGTCTTGAATGGCCTTATACATTTATAGCTCTAAAATGACATCAAAAGCCACAGTCTGCTCCTTATAGAATTTTGGAGAGACAGGAATGATCATTCTTGCTTAAAGTGAACTGGAAAAAGGTCACTTTGTTGTTGTAGCACAAGGCTAAGTGAGAAGAGTAAAGCCAGAACTCTTCCACTGGGTCTGTGCTTAATCACACTGCCTGGGGTATGTACTCCATTCTATCACCCAATATAATGAAACACATCCAGGTGCAAAAGAGAATCTCACTATCTTAGCAATTTCTGTTTTTCTTGTATAAAAACAAAATGTTAGAAATAGTCCTATTTGAAGTGACTAAAAAAAAGTCAATTGGAAAATATCCATAACATGATATAAATCATTCTGTTGAACCAAAAGTGAGGTTCCCTTCACATGCTTAGGGTGACATATTTAGCAATGGCAGCCTCGTAATGGAGGCTGCACTTCATAGTGGGTCAGGGAGGATAACCAGGAAGGAAGAAGCAAGGAGGACATGGCAAGAAGGGAAGAACCAGAAAGAAAGGGGTTGGTGAAAAGAAAATAGAAAAGTAAGTAGGGTAAGCTGTTTGTAGAAATGAGTATCAGCAATCTTGGAAGGCAGTTACTTTGCCTTCCACAAGGCAAGTATAATTTTCTCCTGCCATTTTGCATCTGCCCCTGGTGGGGCCTGGTGGTTTACATCTTACACCAGAGGACTCAAAAGGACTTAATGGTATTTAGTTCCTGGGGAGAAAAATTGCTGGGAGCTGGGAGCAGAATATAGAAGTGGAAAGGCATTAGAGCAGTGTGGTTTGGTAGGAGAAGTGGGGCCTGAAATGGTGTTTTCCTCTTTGAAGTCCTCACTATTTGCCCTAATGCATTCCTTTAAGAGTTTGTGCCTATAATGCACTGAGCAGTGTGCAAGGAAGGGGTTGTGGATATGGTGACCAAGGCAACCATTGCTGAACTCTCTGTCTTCACACATACTACCTTACCTGCTCTATCATTAGCTCAGTGAGGGCAGGTGCCAACTCTTATCTTACTCATTTGCAAACCCAGCAAAACTTTTAGCACCTTCAGACACTCATGAATGTTAAGTCAGTGTTGACAGACTTGGCCTTCCTGCTTTTGCTGTTAGCTGAATCAGGAGAGGGAACAGATCAGCTTTCCAAGCTGCCCCAGGTAATAGCCTGGGGATGTCCAGTAAACTGTTTAAAGCTGATCTGAATGAAATATTTGCTTACTTTGTTAGACTGAATGTGGGCATTGCTGTTCTAACCAACCCTTATGTTGCCTCCCCAGACCAGCTTCTTGGATTCTCATCCTCTGACAGTTAATCAAATTGGCAGAGGCTTGTCATGGGGCTGGGGGTTAGGGGTATGCCCTTGGCTTCAACTTTTCTCAATCTTGAGTAGAATTTGGTTAATTTTGCTAAGTATCCTGAAGAGGCCAGAAAGATCTGAGTTCTTGCCTTTCCTAAATTAATGATCTTAGAGGAGTTCACTTGCAAAGGGAAAGACACAATGCTTGAAAAGTGGGACAAAATTGAAGACCTCTATCTTTGTCTCTTCACTTTTTTATCAGTGTGACTCACTGGCATCTGGCAGTCATATGGCCCTGCCTCTCCTTCTCCCACCTCTATCAATCCTTGGTCAGTGCTCTGCCACCTTAAAAAGCTTCTGCTTTGCCAGGTGCCTGTAAACAAATGGCTGAGATGACCAATGTGAGAGTGACTGTCCTCAAGACAGAGGGAGTAGGGATGAATAAGGGCAACATACAGAGGCTGCCACCATCTGCACAAGCAGAGAAGGGATGTTCCAGTCTCATTTATTGAGGGGCTATATTCTCATATGGATCACTCACTCATTTATAGTCCCAAAGCTGAAAATTCTTAGAACCTGCCTTAAAAATGCAATGCCTGAAAATTGTAAGATGGGACAAACCTCTATTTCCTTGATACTCTTTGCAGACAATATAAGGATGATGCCCATACCAAGGCAGAATGCTCCTGTGGCAAAAAAGCCAGAGAGGACTCCAGCGGCCGAGAGCCGTAGCCGGTAGGCGGGCAATTGCTGCTGCTTCAAGGCAGTGTTGTCTGGCAATCTGGATTGGCAGATCTCAGATGTCTTCTTCATTTTGGTCAGGCAGGTGACTGAGTTATACTTTTGAGACATTTATAACATTACTACTCATAGTAATAGTGCATAATGATAATACTAAATTAAGAATTATATGAATCTTCCTTTATAGTTGCAGTCTTTCTGCTTCCCAGAATTATTCAGCTAAACCTGATATTCAGCAGAACACAGCTCTCTTCAATCAGCTATTGATAGGTATATTTTACTTTAAGCTCAAAAAACAAATAAACAAACAACCCCAAAACCAAAACCAAATAAAACAAAGTAAAAAAAAAAAAAACAAAAAGAAAACTACCCACCAAAGACCCCCCCAACAGCATGTGCTAAATGCCATGCCTAGAAGGAATAGTCCCCAGCAGGGTCTGTATAAATCAACATCTAGTGACCTTAGGAAGCAGTTATAACAGGCTATTTCTGGGATGTGGTGACTAATTCAAGGCAAGCCCTTCCAGAAAGGGGGAGAATGGATTTATCTTTAAGAACTTGCCTAAAGTCTTGGAGATTAATACAAAAAATAAAAGGGCTACCACTTTTTTCCCCCCCAAATGTGGCGGCTTCTCACATCAATATAAACTAAGTTGGAAAAATGCTCTCAAATTACAGCTAGCTTTACTACTTGTGATAATGACAAAGAGGGAAGAAAACAGGGATCATGGGCACACAGATGTCTAATCTCAGTAGCTGCCAATTTTTTCATCCGTAAGAAAGACTCTGGTAGAAAATGTACATTAAAAAGCATCTAAACTTCTTCCAAGCATGTGCTTTGGAGTAGCTCAAATGAGACAGGAGAAAGGAAGAGGAACATAGAAAATTGATTAAATGTTCAATATCTCAATATAGTATAATTGGTTTGGTTTGGGGTTTTTCTGATTTATCAGAAATTTCCTGACATCATTTTCATTTGGCTATTATTAGTTCCTCTTCTTTAAGATGTATTTAAGATACAGAATTAGAATAAAAAATAGTGAATTTCTAATCTTCCTTTTTTTATTAGCATTAGGCAGAGAAGCCATGCTGGACTACTTTTATATTAAAGAAGGCAATGACTTTGGCAGGTGTAGCTAGTTCAAAAGAATACAGAATAATTGCAAATGCTTACCTTAGGCAGTATCAATTCAGAGTCAAAGTTTCCCACTTGCAAACTGGGAAAAGCACAATACCAGTGAGAACTTTTCAGCATGTCACTTGATTCTGACTTGGAGACATTGAATAATATGGCTGCCAGTATCAGCCTTTTGTGAGAAGACGGCAGCAAATAATTTAATTCACATCTGCTACTTATTTTACTATGTAAACATGGTCAAGAACTTGGGTTTAAAAAGCAGTAATAGCCTACAAGATTAGATTATACATGCATGGTTGGCATACAAAATAATCAGGTCTACCATCTATGTACTTGGTCCAACGTTGGGTGGGATTATACTACACAGGTAACACCTAGCAAATGTGTCATGACAGTATCACATCTCTAAGAACAGAATTTAGTTTTTTTATAATATATCAAAACCAAACTAACCCAAACCCCAAACCAAAGACACCTTAACATATTAGTCAGGGTTCTCCAGAGAAACAGAATTAATCAGAGGTATGTAAAGAGATTTTATTATAAGCAATTGGCTCACATGGTTATGGAGGAGGCTGGTAAATCTGAAATCTGTAGAGCTGATGTCTCAGGTTGAGTCTGAAGGCCAAAAGGTGGTGGAGAACCAGGTGCTGAGGTCCCAGTGTGAAGGCTATCAGACAGGAATAGCTGATGTTTCAGTTGGAATCAGAATTCTCTCTTCTTGGGGGTGGGGGTGGTTTGTGGGTGTGTGTGGGAGGTGGACAGTACTAATGTAGGCTTTTAACTGACAGGATGAGGCCCACCCACATTAGGGAGGGCAATCTGCTATACTCAAGTCCACTCATTTAAATGTTAATCTTATCCAAAACAGCCCTCACAAAAACACTCAGAATAATATTTGATCAACTATCTGGGGACCCTATGGCCCAGTCAAGTTGACACATAACATTAACCATCACAGGTACTAAGTGAACACATTTCTGGGACAACGTCCTTGAAAGAGCCAGATCTCACCTTATGGGAACTTAAAAAAAATAATTTATTTAAATTCAAGTTAAGCAACATACAATATAGTATTGGGGTCAGGAGTAGAACCCAGTGATTCATCTACAGGTACTTTTATATTTACATATTTTTCTATATAAACCTACTTTAAGCATACAAATATACTTCATATACTCTGCTTTTCAAATTTCTAGAATGGGGTTCCTTAATTTCAGTACTACTAATTAATATTTTGGGCCAGATATTTCTTTATTGTGGGGCTGCCCTGTAATACTGTAGAACATTGAGCATTATCTTTGGCTTGTACCTGCCAGTCATAACCCCCCACTACATGCTAGAAGTTTCTCCCCAGTTGTGGCAACCAAACATGTCTCCAGACATTGCAATGGCCTCTGGGGGACACAAATGCCCCTGGTTGAAACACACAGTTCTGGATTGATATGGATATGACAGTTTGTTAGCAGCTGTTATACTGCAGTATCATCAGACATTTCAGATAGTGATTTTTAAAGCCCTTGCGTTCAGTTCTCTTTAACTGCTATGCAGATAGCTCCCTAGGCATTACATACATTTTCTGTAAATCTGAAATTATTTTAAAATAAAAAGTCAAAAAATAATGAAGACAACTGTAGTTACACTGTTGTCTTTCATACATTTGCAAAGTGCCACAAACACTTCTGACTCTTTCAACCACTACCACGGCCGCCCACTACACTGGGACCAGGCTTCGGTTTAGAAATCTGTTCCATGAGTACCATCACATGGAGTCCTCAACTATCTTCGGAGAGATCATTCTCATTTTGAGGCTGGTGAAGCTGAGGCTCAGAGAGGGAAAGGGCTTCTCTAAGGTTTAGCCAGGCGCTCTTTCTCTTCTCCTGCACAGTAACATCAGAGGCCGATGGGTCGAAAAAAACGCATCCTGCTCAAAAAACATCACACACAAGCTGGTGATACTTTATTACAAAGAGAAGTTGGCAAAGGACAGCTTCAGTTTTGTCAAAGAATCTCCATCAAAAATTTCTAGTGATTCATCTGGTGATACAGTTAACATAATAAAACAATAGCTGATATTTACTGAGTGCTTGCAATATTCCAGAGCTATTAAACAAGATGCAAATCCCATAAAAACTGGAATTTTCATTAGGACTCAGACTTAGAAAAGGCCCAGCTTCAAAGATTCTGACTTGCACAGACTGAGGACTCCCATTTCCAGAAGTTCAAAAACCTCCTTTCTTATCTAAAAGAGAGACAAGGGGAAAAATAAAAGGTTAAGATCAAGAAAAGATGGTCTTGGCAAATAAATTCAACCATCTGGATATCCTGGTATTTATGTGGCTGTTATAGCCAGAATCAGGGAGGGCTAAAATCCTAACCTGCGTTTTATTCAGAGTTGAAATATTTACATAAGTAAAGTAAGAGGTACTATATAAAACATCAGTTTCAATAAAGTGCCCTTTTGTTACCACTCAAAATAAATTTCATTAAAAAAAATCTTACACAAATGTGTTTCAAAGTATGTCTTGATAACACATATTTCAATATAGGATGGCTGATAATAATGACTTCAACATAAAAAAATAACTATGGATAACAGTGTGCTTTTTGACACAATTTTTTCTTCTTATAATTAGAAAACTCATGGTGGATTACTCAGATTTAATATTATAAGTGAAATAATTAATATCAAATTTGTTAAACTGGTTTCAAAAAAACCAGTCAGTTCAGGGGACAGGGTGTGTGTGTGTGTGTGTGTGTGTGTGTGTGTGTGCGTGCGCGCAACTGGGAAAATTGTCTTTTAACCTGTATTAATATCTGATATAACTCAGTGATTAATCAAAATTAGGTTTGGTCATTCTGGGGATATAGTTTTATGTGGGAAATTAATTCATTCAACGCATTTGGAGAATTAATTCCAAATCTCTTTGATAGTTACTGCCATGATTCATTGCTGGTTGGTTGGTGACTGGCAGCCATGTTAATTATTGCACAAACCCTTTTCTCTCCAACAGATACTTCTAAACATCAGGCTGGCTTGAAAAATTAGCTCCATGATACGCAGTAGGTGGTAAATCAATTTTTCACATTTTGATGTTACTGGACTAGTTTCATAAATATATAGTAAGCTAATGCTTATGTGGCTACAAAGGTATTCAACCAGTTTTAATTCACTGAGACATCAAAATAATTTCCCTACCCAAAACCAAAATAGCCCTCTATATTAAGTAAGTGAGTTTTTGGGTATGGGAGATGTGGGTCTGAGGGAAGTTTGTGCTCCCACTCCCTAGTGCATCTGTAAAGATGAAAGACAAACATGACTGTGTCTCTAAAGCAAGGCACACAAAAATGTGCCAAGTCCTCCAGATCTTCCTGTTTCTCAAAGGCACAGTAATAGATGTGGTCCCCAGTGGGGCAGAGGCCATTGGTCATTTAGTGAAGAAACAAAGCTGATTCCTATAAAAGACATGGAAAGGATACAGTTAGATCTATGGGGTGAGATGGACTTTATAACTGGAGTTACTTCAGAGTTAAAAGACAGAAAAAATTTCAATGGCCAGAACTTGCTGGTTCCCCATGTCAACGACTTTATTACTGTGTTTGAACTCAAGTTCAAGTTGAAGAAAAAAAGATTAAAGGCAATTGCTGGTTACACGGTACCTCGGGAATGTCCATCATCCTCCTCAAATTCTGATCTCTCCAGTTCCAGTCAAAAACCAGAAACTTTAAGGGGTTCAAATTAAGGCCACCTGAAAGAGGCAGAAAGAGAGTTGCTACAGCAAAACCTTACGACATAAGCTTATCCAAATGACTTTTTAGTCTCCAGGTTGCTTTTTGCCTCATTTACTGTCCTTTCCCCCAGCAACTAATCTCTGCACACTAAGTGCCGACCCTGGCTGATGGAAAACAAATGCAGAACTCAGAGATTGCTTTCTTTATAATCTTATCACTGATTCTGAGGGAAGCAGAGAAGCTGCTAAGCTCATCAACTGCTCAAGTGCTGGCAAAGAATCAATCCCCAGCCTCCATTTCATGAAGCCCCAGAGAGTGAAGTCTCATTCATGACAGGAATTTGATAAGATGGATCCTGCAATCTAGGTAGTGGCCTTTCAGAGGAATTGAGTCCAACAGAGTCTGAATGACTCTGAGGAGGTGAAGGGACAGAAGGATGAGGCTAATGTTTGGGGTTTAATTTTAGGCAGAAAAGGAGGTAAATATGAATGGGCTCTATTCAAAGTGTGAGAAGACTAGCAAACCACTTCAGGACTCCCATTTCTACTGTCTTCCTATCTATCTAGAGACAATTATGGAATGTGGGGCTGGCGGGGACTTCAGGTATTGTCTGTTCCTCAGAGGTCTCAGAGGTGGGCACAGTTAGTTTTTCCCACTCCTCATGATCTTCCCACTGTTCCAAGCTGTTTCCTGTTACATGTGGAAACATAACTGAAGGTTTCCTCTGCAGCACTTCTCCTCAACTCTTCTCTGATTATTTCAATATCTCCCCTTCTGTCCAAAAGCCTTTTTCATTCTTCTTATAATTATAACGAGTCATTTAAAATTTTCTCTGAAAAATTAAAAATTATAAATTGAGAAGAACAATGGGTTGGCAGTCTTCCCTTAAAAATAACTTGCTGTTGGTGGGAGAGCAAACAGGTACAGTCTCTCAGGAAGGCACTAGAGCAAACAGAAGCTTAAAATGCTTACTATTTGAAAAAACACTTTTCTTTCCATAACATATCACTATAAAAGTATCAGAAACTTAAACATAGTTAATGGGGCACCAGCATAGTTCAGTTGGGAGAGTATGGGACTCTTGATCTTGGGGTTTTAAGTTTGAGCCCCACATTAGATGTAGAGATTACTTAAAAGAAAAATCTTTTTTTTTTTTTAAAGAAATAAGCTTAAATATACTTACTTGCAAAGATGATCATTTATAATAGCAAAAATTTAGAAATAATTCAGGTATCCTATCTAATCTAATTACTAAAAAACAATATAACTTGAGGTTAATATCCAAAATCTATAAAGAACTTATGGAAAGCAGTAGCAAAAAACACCAATTAATCCGATTTAAAAATGGACAAAGGAAATGAAGATACTTTTCCAATAAAGACATTCAAACGGCCAACTGGTACATGAAAAAGTGCTCAACATCACTAATCATCAATCATATTACCAAACACCCCTACAAGAAACAACAAGTGTTGACAAAAATGTGGAGAAAAGGGAACTGTTGTATACTGTTGGTGGGAATGTAAATTGATATAGTCACTATGGAAAACAGTATGGAAGAACAGTCAAGAAATTGAAAATGAAACTACCATATGATCCAGCAATTCTACATCTGGGTATATACCCAAAGGAAATGAATTATCTCAAAAAGACATCTGCACCCCTATGTTTATTGCAGCATTATTTACAATGGCCAAGACATGGAAACAACCCTTAGTATTCATCAACAAATGAATGAATAAAGAAAATGTCACACACACACATACACACACACACACACACACACACACCCTGAGGAATATTATTCAACCATAAAAAGGAAAGAAGTCCTGTCATTTGTGACAATAGGAATGGACCTTGGGAGTATTATGCTAAGTGAAATAAGTCAGACAGAGAAAGACAAATACTGTATGATATCACTTATACGTAGAATCTAAAAAACCTAACTCATAGATACAGAGAACACATTGGTGGATGCCAAACGTGGGGGTGGAAGATGGTCAAAAGGTAAAAACTTCCAGTTGTAAAGTAAATAAGGTTTTGGGATGTAATGTACAGCACAGTGACTGTAGTTAGTACTGTATTATACATCTGAAAGCTGCTAAGACAGTAGGTCTTAAGAGTTCTCATCACAAGTAGAAAAAATGAAATCTGGCCATGTGTAGCAACATGGATGGACCTTGAGGGGGTTATGCTGAGCGAAATAAGTCAGGCAGAGAAGGACCTCTGGGTAAGAACTGTGCGAGAGGCAGGGTCCATCCCCTGGACCCTCCTGCTGCCCAACCAATCTCTCCCAACCCTGTGTCTCACAGGTAGGCTATGAGTGCCTCTCATCTCTTCCTTCACTTCAGTGCCCTCCTATGTCCACAAGACAAAAATCCAAACTCTTCAGCTTAGTGTTCAAAGTCCTCCCTCCACAATCTAACTTCCTTTCTAGTTGAATCACCAGCTACTAAAGCCCATGAAGTTTCTAACCAAGAAAGTTGTTCTCTTTAATGAAAATAATAACTAGCATTTACTGAGTCCTTAGGGTATGAAATTCTCTACTGGCACTTTATTATCATACCAATCCCAAGAGGAAGATACTATCACTATCCCTGTCATTTGAATACAGAAGAAGATTTAGAGACATTAAGTAACTTGCCAAGGTCACAGAGCTGGTCAGTTGCTGGATCTGGGATTTGACTCTGGAGGTCTGAATCCATGATAGCTCAACACTGTATCTCAGTCATGTGTATCTGGCTGCCCTCTTCTGATTCAGTGATTCTCTTATTCCTGAATGCTTTTCTCACTTTTCCATACTTCAGAAGTCCCATTTTAATCCTCCTTACACTTCAAAGATCAGTTAAAGACCCTTTTCTCTGTAAAGCCTTCAATACAGATTCAGCCTCCATAATAATATTTCCACTCCTGTAGGACTTGGAAGTGCTCATTTAGGTCGTGGCATTTAGTGCCTCAAGTTGTCAATCTCATTTTAGGTATATTTACCTCTTCAAGGATCAGGAGCTCTTTGAGAGGGAAAGGCTCTGGAACTAGGAATGCCTAGACTGAGAGACTGTGGGACAGCCACTTAACCCTTCAGAGTTTCAGAGTTTTCTCTTCTATGAAATAAGAATTCTACCGTGCAAGGGTGCCATGAATATTTACTGAGATACATAAGCATGTGTAGCATAGCACCTGTGCAAGTAGGAACTCAAAAAATGTGCTTCTCTTCCCTGTCTTGGGGCTGCCAAGTCTGTCACTTCTTTGTAATTGCACAGACCTTTGTATATAGTGGGTTCACTTAACCCTGGATGATTTTCATCTGGAAAGAAACACTAGTATTTTAAGCTTTTGTTTGCTTCTTGGCAAATGACCGTCTCTATACTGAGTTATTAGACTGATGAACATATTACTTTTAGATATAAAAAAAAATCTAGGAATAGCTCCAATTGTAACAGAGTTCTATTAGTATATTAAATAAGTAATTTGGCAGTGAGTATTGAAAAGAAATCTTTAATTGGTCTAGCAGGTAAAACAGGTAATAAGATCATCAGCAGATTAACAGGTTTTAGGCTACTGATTTTGAGAGAGCCAACAAATTATAAAAACCCAGCAGTGGATGTTGTCTGGAATAGTTTCTGTGTAAAGTACTAAAAGAGAAATGAATTTTGGGAGCAATACTCTAGAATATTCTTATTTCATCCATAGAAACTGCATTATAGTTTCAACATGTTTTATATATAAGCCCTCAACTGAAAGGGGAGTCTTGGGGAAGCAAGATTCAATTAATTAAGAGAGAAATACTCAACTCATCTAGCTCTACAAATTCTAGAGGTTGCAAATTAGTGAGATGAATTGTGGATCCACTAACCTGCTTAAAGCAAGTGGAATTTGAATGTGTGTAGGTGGGCACATGTACTGCAGTTTGCCACAATCCCTGCCATTCCCTACTGCATCATACCTGCTTGCTAGCTTTACCAACACAAGGCTGAGTTTCCAACTCCCCAATCAACACAGAAGTCTGGTTTCATTACATCACAGATATGGTTTACTAAACTCACATGGGGGTAAGGCAAACTTCCAGTACTAATTAGGCATATCAGTGCCTCTTTTCATACCTTGTTTAATGAGTTCTTTAATCCTCCCTGGGGTTCCTACACCCAGGTGCACAACACGCTTCTCCAGCAACTTTACCTGTTCCTGGACCTATTTATTTCAAGACAGGAGAGAGGAAAGAAGAGTTTTTAGAAAGTGCAATCATAGGCCAATTTAGAGCACTTTATCTAAAAGTTAAAGAAGTAAAAAAGCAAATGGGGCTACCCTTGTTTAGGCTCAACTTCCAGGACAATGGGAAGGTTAACATCAAGATAGAAAAGAATTGCCCTACAAATTTTTTTAAAAAATATATTTCTGAGAGAGCAAGAGAGACAGCGTGAGCAGGGGAGGGTCAGAGAGAGAGGGAGACACAGAATCCGAAGCAGGCTCCAGGCTCTGAGTCCACTGTCAGCACAAAGCCCGACACGGGGCTCAAACCCACGAACCACGAGATCATGACCTGAGAGGAAGTCGGACGCCCAACCAACTGAGCCACCCAGATGCCCCACGGACTGCCCTATAAAACTGGTAAATCTTCTCAGAATCCAGGGGTCAGATCTCAGCTTCTGTGCAGAAATCTTGGAGCACAGAGGAGTTGTGGCTGTTGTGGGGGCAGGTGGCATGCAGAGGCAGGGAATGCAAAGAACACCAGAATACTTGTTAAATATGTTATAAGGAGATGCCAAAGAAAATATCAGCTGAGGAGATAAGAAAAAGCTGGGAGTAGCCCTTAAGGATAACTTACATCTCCCATCAGAAGCCACAGGCCCTTGTTTTACCTTTATGTGTTTTGCAAATAATTTCATAACTTTGCTGTCTCCTCTGAATGCTGTCATCGACCTAATTAAAAAAAAAAAACACAGATTATTGCTTAAGAAAACTTACTCATTGCAGGACACATTGACTACTAAAGTATTATGTCTTGCTTTATTCAAAAGAATACGTGCATTTATGTAACTATGAGTATATATATACACAAAAAGATTCTGAGATTTTCAAGTCAGCCCATCTCTGGAAGGAAAGTAAGGAAGTCTTATTCAGGCATGTTACCTGGGTTGGCTTCTAATTCTCATATGCAAGGTTAACTTCAGTTAGGTTTCCTTGATAATTGAAAAATATGGATCTGCCCTTCACTTGTTAATACAGAATGTCTGTATTTCAGGTCCCTGGCAGAGAATTTATCTTTCAACTCTTCAGTATAGTTCTTGTATAAAATTTGGTTGCAAGAAATATCATAGAGCAGTGATCTCAGGCTGTGCTCTGTGAAGCCCAAGGGCATCTACAAAAGTCTGTATGTGGCTGCCATAGTGGATTGCTGGGAATGAGCTGGCAGGGAGAAGAAAGGCTTATGTCTTTCAATCAGAGCAGCCCCACACTTTGTACTTTGCAGAATGAGCCTTTTGGCAAAATTTTACATGCGAAAATGTTTCTGCTATCAATAGGTATAAAAGTATAAAAGATCTATCTTTTGATTGATGTTTGGTAATAGACCTAACATGGGAATACTGCTCAGAAATATTATTTACCAGTAGGAATATATGAGTTTGCAAGATAGTAAATTATGCTATACATGTTCTGTTGTACTTGATTTTTACTCACACATAAGCCTTCTCCATGGGAAGGTTAACTAGGAAGAGAGTTTAGGGGACATATTTAATGTTAATTCATGGTCCCTAAGAAAACAGATATTCTTAGAAAAGTTAGAATTATTCACCATTAGTCTTTATGAATAGGGCTTGTGCTAGCTCAGAAATCACTTTTTGCAAATCACCTAACCTTGAAGTGTATCATAACATTACAAATGACACAGAAGAACACAGGATTGGTAAGTGATGTGTGACAACATAGTGCTTTTATGCCCTTCAGAAAGGTATTTATGTACAGTAAAAGCTCAAATCAATGTGACAGTTTGTTTTTAAGAGGTCATCTCCAGGCCAACCTCTTTGCCATTAACATCTGAACCTGAAATGAGTTCTGTGGTGGTATTTTTAAAAAACACTGAAAAGTCAATGTGAACTAGCTATGATTTCAGAACCAGCAAGTACCGCCCCAGAAGCAGGTGGAGTCTTGAAGATCAATTGTGTTTAGAGCAGATATGTCATGAGAAACACTTGTTTTATTGAGAGGGTGTGTGATACAATTTAATGTGTGTGTCTTGCGGGGAAAGGAGAATTGGAAGAACTCAAAAACTATTTTTCTAAATTCATAATCAGATTAGTTCATTTAAAAAAATAGATGCCAAATAGCTACTGAGAGTCTACATTTGCACCTCAATTTATTTTTCTCCAGGACTTGGATTTTCCTTTTTTTGTCTCCTGTCAAAGCCTGGTACAGAGCCTTGCCCTGGAAGAGGGCTAGTCCCAGTAAACCCCACTTAACTCTGACGGCTCTTTTCTGAAAGCTCAATGTTACCGCCAATCCAGTGGAAGGAAGCCTTTTGTTTTTTCTACAAAAACTATAGTAAATGAAAAGGTATGTGAAAGCACTTAGTAAAACACTGACAAATTATCTTTAAAATAAAATGTTTATATTTAAATTTTCAGTCCATTTGAAATTTATCTTGGTATGAGAGGTGAGATATGGACCCAACTTTACTTTTCCAGATGGCTACCCAGTTGTTCCAACACCATTTATTAAATAATCCATCTTTCTTCACTGATGTGTCACCTTTGCCATATGCTACATTTTCATATGCATACGGGCCTGTTGATGAACTTCCAATTCTATTCCACTGGTCTGATTTATCATGCATATGCCAGTTCCATACTGTTTTGATTAGTGAGACTCTGTAATATATACCCATTGGTAATCTGATAGATACTATAGACATAGTATCCTCTCACTAATATTCTTTTTCAGAATTTCTCCAGCTCTTTTTAATTCTGTATTTTCTCCTTATCAACTTAGAACTATAGCTTATCTTTAAACTTTGAACTTTAGCTTATCTGGTTAAAAAACTATTCTATTGGAGTTTCATTGGAAATCTGTGAAATTCATACATTATTCTATGTAAAACAGACATCTTTACATCAACTCTTCCTATTCAACAATATAGTATACTTTTTTGTCTGTTCAAGATCTTCTGGGTGGCTTGTGTAATATTTTCTTTGTATAGATTTTGGTAAGCTTATTCTCTGGCATTCTATTTTTTTCTTGTTGTAATTTTTTATTTTTATTAAACTTTTTTTGATATTTACTTATTTTTGAGAGACAAAGAGACAGAACATAAGCAGGGGAGGGGCAGAGAGAGCAGGAGACACAGTACCCAAAGCAGGCTCCAGGCTGCCAACACAGCCCAACACGGGGCTCGAACTTGTGAACTGTCAGATCATGACCTGACCTGAAGCTGGACGCTTAACTGACTGAGCCACTCAGGTACCCCTCTTATTATTTAAAATTAGGTCTTTTTCCGCCTTATTTCTTCCAACTGGTTATTGCTTATACTATTTCCTTGCTTTGACTCTTGCCCTCTACAATGTGTATTCTCTACAAAGCAGCCAAAGTGAGCTTTTAGAATGATTATTCAGATCATGTAACTCCTCTGCTCAAAATGTTTTGATAACATTGCATTCCAGAGCCTTTTGTGCTTCCTGTCTACTCTGTTTGGAATGTTCTTCTTCCACATTTGCTCAGCTTTCCCCTTCACTTTGTTCACATCTCTGCTCAAATGTCATTCTCCTTAGAAAAGCTTCCTGTGACAAAATTTTTAAAAGTAGCTCCTCATCCCTGTCTATCCCTTTGCTATGCTTTATTTTGTCTTACTTAACACTACTTGACATTATGAAGTATATTTATTTGTTCACTGTTACATCTCCAGCATACAGAACATATCAGCTTGACACATATCATTTATTCAGAAAAAATTTATGAGATGAATGAGTGAAGCATCCAACCTAATAAGCTCCAGGGCCCGGAGGGCAGAGCTGCAGATGATCAGCATCAGGACTGATTTCTTCTCATTATGGTTTTTCCGAAGTTTTACCCACTTAGGGCAGACTGAAAAAAGACCATAAGAAAAATATTACTCTAAATACAACAAAATAGGACTCCCAAAGTTGCATATTCTCCAATTATTCTTTGTTAGTATTTAATTAAGGTAAAATATAATGAGTATTGTGTAGATTCTGTTAACTGGTTATTCTAGATACTAGATTAAAATGAAAAATCATTAACTTATAACACAAAGCACACAATATGCCAAGTTAGCTAAATATGACTAGCGAAATGTTAAATGTTAAATATTTATATCTAAACTATTTCATTGTCAGCCACAAATAGATGACTACCTAATATGAATAATCTAGCTTATTACTAGCTACACACAATACATGTTGAAAAGATAAAATGTGATTGTGCAATAGCCATGATCTGAGTTCTGAGCATGTGAACAGAATTTCACAATTTCACAGCTAGAACAAAGATCACTTGTCCAACTTACTTATCTTTCAGATAACAAAATTAAGTCCCAAAGGAATACTCTGTGACTTGTCCCAGGCCAAACAGCAAATTAGTGAGGGGTCTGGAACTAGAACATCAAGTATTCTCTGGATTCCTAGACCAATACCAATAAGATATTATAAACCAAAAATGAGACTAAAGCCCAAATTCTCAAAGCCAGAGCAAAATAAGAATAAACTTAAATAAACAAAAATTAATACCAAGATGGACCTTAAGAGAAACTTTTATTTCAAATCTATTTGAGGTAGAAAGTTTTGCTTTTAAAGGCAGTTTTAGAAGTTTTTAAAGAGATGGATCTTGGGCACCTAGGTGGTTCAGTCATTAAGCATCTGACTTTGGCTCAGATCATGATCTCATGGTTCATGGGTTTGAGTCCCATATCAGGTGAGCTCAAGCCCCGCTTCAGGTAAAACATGAACCCTGCTTCAGGTGGGCGCTGCTTCTCTCTCCTCTCTCTGCCACTCATGGGATTCTCTCTCTCTCTCTCTCTCTCTTCTTCCCACTCATGCCTTCTCTCTCTCTCTTAAAATAAAAGAGAGAGAGAGAGACAGAGAGAGAGAGAGAGAGAGAGAGAGAGAGAGGTGGATCTTATGTTTTAATGAAGTAATAATAACTTGGTGAATAACTTAGAAGAAAATCATAGTTTACTTACTTTCTTTAAGGTATGATGAAAGACTATGAGTCAAATCATTGGCCTTGAGGAAACAGGAGTCTAGAATATGATAGACATGCTTTGTAGAGGATTTTGCCAAAACATATATGATCAAAATACATTAAATGAATATGATTGAACATTATACAACATTAGTGAATGGGGGCTCATTATATATTTTAAAGTGTTGTCCAGCATTTAAAACAATAGCAGCAACAAGAACAAGTAAACTTTAAACTGTCCATAATTTCTTAGAGTACTGAAATAGAAGCTTGTTTTATCATTCAATGGACTAATGAAGTACGTTTACTTTTCAAATCTATGGAATAAGCAATATACAAAGGTAAAGGGGAAATAGCTAACACATCTATGTAGAGATGCTCAAACTCACTAGTCATCATAGAAATTCATATTAGTGTAATGAGGAGATAATACTTTACACACACATTAGAATGTGATTTATTAGATGTATAAAACCAAGTATTGTCAAGAATGCAGGGTAATAAAACTCTTGTGAAATGTAGGTGGAAGTATAGACTGGTAATAGCTATTCTGGAAAGTACTAAAATTAAGTTGTATACACCCTATGACCCCATGTTAAATTCTTGAGTAAATGATGGAAAGAAATTCTTATGCAGTCTATAAAGAGACATACACAAGTATATTTCTCCTAGCATTATTTGTGACAGTGGGGAGCATGAAGCAACCTAGGTGTCCATATCTAAGAAAATGGATGACCAATATGTAGTAGATAGAATCACTGGAATACTATGTAGTACTTAGAAGCAATGAACTTGGTGTACATAAAGCCATATGGGCATATCTCAAAAAAAGTGCTCAATGAGAAAAGAGACAAAATGAGAAGTTCAGCGTATCATTTAGATAAATTGTAAAATGAACACACATACATTGACATGACATTTTATAAGCATATATACATATTTAAAAACATATTAACACATTAGACTGAATGCTATGGGGAATGTAAAAAGGAGTGTGTATTAGGGAAGAGTGGGAATAATGCATCAAAATACAACACAACACAAGATCACAGTAAAAGACAATGTAACACTTAAATAAAATGTAGGGGCCTTGCTCAACCAAGGACTATCATAGTCTAGCAATAAGGTAGCATTATTAACTCTGTACCTGAGATGTATAAATAAAAAAGCAAGATCATGTTTCTCATTCTAATTCTTTTTAGAGGAAAAAGTTTTCTATAAACACACCAGAGTGCTAGGGAGTAAACTACTACTAAATTAAATGACATTTATATTGTGACCTGGCATATATAACTCACATTATGTCACTAACTTCAAAGATATTGCTTCCTATACAACTGGAGAGACTTTGATGGTCTTTAAAACTGTAATTTTCCAAGCCTGGATATGATCAGACTCACCGAAAGAGCTTTATAAAAGATATAGTTTCCTGGGATGGACTCCTTTTGTTAGTAAGTCAGAATTCCTTGGGGGTGGGCCTGGGAATTTGCTTTTTAAGTTCTTGGGTGATTTCAGTTGCTGTTAGCCTACAGGGGTTTAGCACTGATCTAAACCACACTGCAGCCCTCAGGAGGTCAGCTGAGTTAACTCCAAGAGATTCCTGCCTCGAAACTAATTAAGGCCCATGTGTATGACATTAACAACATACAGTGAACAGTATTAATTGAAAAGACATGTTCCTGCCCTACAGAAACAAATAACCTCAAATCAAAACCAAGCTAGACACTCAGCAAACAAACAGAACAATCCTTCATTATCTATATCCACCTTATATTTATTCCCTGACCGAAGCCTGTTCCAAATAACCCACGGTGTGTCCCCTCCTCTTACCTATCATGGACTTCCTCCCTGTCCTTGGTCTCATAAATAAGTGTAGCAACTGGGATCTTTTCTCCTGAACCTTCTTACAATGCCTTATTCACTGTGTCTCAGAATGGCCTAATTTCCTAACTGAAAATGAGAACCCGTTCTTTTTGTCTATAAAAGTATTTTTAGCATTTTCCTTCCTTCCTAAACCGAGCCATGGCCACACATTCTTCCTTAACTACACGACTGAACTGTAATATAGCAATAATATAATGCAAACTCACTATGGAACTCCAATGGCTCTTAAAGATTTCTTTTGCCCCCTGCCTCCCTACAATACTAGAAAATTAAGATTTATGATGCTCCATAAGTATGCAGAGTAGCAGCGATCCCACTATGTCACAAATATCCTTCTAAAGTTGAAGGCATATGCTAACAAAGAACTATAAGGAAAAAGCAACCATTGAGTCAAACTTCAGTTAAGCTTGGAAAGGAGGCTTTATTCTAACACTTGGTACCTGCGAAGGAGCAGTCAGGACACAGCTCTTCTCAAAAGAACTATGCCCAGACAGGAGTGGTTTCTAACTGCTGGTGGAGCCATCTGGGTTTTGTGAATCTAAAACTCCAGATCTCCCTCATGTGGAAATGTACTCCTTAAATTCCCTAATTTAAGGGTATTCCTTTTGGAAAAGAGCCAGGGGACACTCCTGTTTCTAAATTCAATGTGCATTTTGTTTTTAAAAGCACATCACAAAGGAATTATAAAAATTCAGGGCACGGGAAGGTTTTCCAGCTTAAGCCTCTAGAAAGTATAAAGTAGTAATGGAAAAGGGAAATCAAGCTATCTCTGACTTTTTCCAATAGCAAGAATTAGATGTCCCTGGTAATCTATAAATAGCTCATCTGAAACAGTGGTGACCAAATCTTATGTGGTTTGATTTTTGTAACATCTCTTTTCTTTAATATCTCCTAGAAGAGTTCCAGGATGTATCAGAATTTCTAAATTAATTAAAATTAGTTGTTTCAAGAATTCTGCAATATCTTTAACTGAATTATAAATATTCTAAGGCAGTAGATCTCAAACAATAGTAGGCTTAAGAATCAGCCTGGGTGAGGTGTCAGCATTGCTAAAAATGCAGAATTTTATCCCTATCCTTAGATAGTTTGCTTGAAAGACTGGCCTGGGACCCAAAACGCTACCATAAAAACAAAACTATAACTAGAAATATGTGATAAGAACAACAACAAAACTAAAAGCTTTAAAACTTATTAAAGCTAAAGTTCTTATCTATAAGAGTAAGTTAATGTTTCATGTCTATGCTTTTAAATGTGTGCTTTATCTTTATTTTAACTTAACTTCTATACTTAGTAGGGATTCTTACTCCTTGAAGAATGCTAAAAAAATGCACACTCAACAGTAGCTCTTTGAAAAAATGCAATTACAAATCTACTAGATTGAACAAATGCCATTTAGCATATTAATAAAGGAACCATTCAACAGTTAAAACTATTAGGTTGAGGAAAGGAGTATTAGCATGTGGAAAATACATCGATTCACTGGCTAAGATGTAGCCGTGAACCCTGTTTGCTCCTCCTTGTCAGGAAAATTGATAGCAATAACACTGAGTCCTGCTAAATGACTAACCTCTGAATAGTAAGAAGAAAAAGAAAGAAAAAAGCCAAACAAGTCTGACTGTACCTGGTAGATTTAGTTCCTCTAACTCAATCACTGAGCGACTGTTGCTGTAATAGTCCTTCATCAGCTTCTGTAGGTCTTCGGGTGTCCCTGGTTTTGGCTCTGATTTTGCAAGAACATCAGTAATTTTCTTCTAAGACATGAGGTGGAAGAGAATAAAAACCCAGGAAGATAGATTTTACAATGGCATTAGCTTAGAATAGGTTGATTTCCCTGGTATTTACACTGCACATAAGTTTTGGTGAAAGCTGAGTATGAACGTGAGTTCTAATAAATACACCCGAAAAAACTTAATAAATACTTTTTGGATATAACCATTAGTTTGAAAAATGAATAGGCAATCTAAAAGGCTCCTTGTAACTCTTGGTGTATGGCTTCTAGGAGAACTTAAATTTCTGTGAGAATCTCTATAATAGGGCATTATTTTCTATTACAAGTCAAGAAATCTTTTTGCTGTGGAAATTTCTCTTTAATCTTTAGGTGATTTTTATTCCTGGAAGAGTAGAATTTTGAGAATTTTTTTTTGCCTAACCTGATTTTTAAGGCCCCAAGTCTCCGTATGGATTTCTGGGATTAAAGTAAAACCTGCAGGGGTAATCTGAGCATGGGAGTCCACACACCGCAAAGGGGGACTTTAGGCTCTGAATCCTCAAGTCTTGGGAGAGAGTCTTGAAGTGGCCCCATGAAAAGACTTTACAACATTTATTTTGATTTGGGCTCATTTGTGTAGCACTTACTGCATTGGACTCATTTGTGTAGCATTTACTGAGTGCCTGCAATGTACTAGGAACACATAGTTGTTTAGTTAATTTTCATCATAAACTTTCCTTCTTGTTTCCTTCTGATTTTTCACCAAAGATCTACAGAGCCATTCCCCACCCCCATTCTAGCTTTTTCTCCTCTTTCCACAACATCCTCATCTCTACACCACTGCCAAGAATGGTCAAAGTTCTGTCAAATGAATTAACTTTTAAAAATATGTCATCAGTAGGCACATTTTAGCATGACCTCAGCCCAAGCTAAACTATCTAGCTACAGTTTTGACCTTGAGCCACCAAGAACTTAACACTCCTGAAGGCAATTAGTGTATAAACTATCAAAGAGAAGTTAAAGTCACTTCTTAAAGGACTTGCCAAACCTCAGCCAATTTGGCATCGCCCATCTTTCTGTTTGGCCATTTGTGGACAAAGAAAACATACGCACACATACCCTCAAGTTTTCTAAAAGCTTGCTGTTAAGGAATTGGTTTCAATCCATTTTCTTTCCTCTAATCCCAATCATATTTCCTTTGCTGAATTCTGCAGTAGACCTTGGCAGGGAGAGAATTACACTGCTGTTTTCACAACTGTGGTGGAAGGTCAAAGCTAAACCATGCTTTCTCCAAGGCTGAGCCATGAGAAAGTCTGTATAGGTGCAATACAGTCTTCCATGTACTCATAGGCAAGTATTAAAATACAAGGGGAGCCTTTTGTTTTATGTGTCCAAATTAGAATCAGAAATGTCTTATACTACCTTCATATACTTATTATTTTCTTTTTATTAATATTTCAGGATGTAACATTTAAAAAACTAAAATGGATATGAAAAGAAAGTTGGTAAATTTCTTCTCTCGGGCAGAGCCAGAGGGCAGGACAGCTTTGGGCTCCTAGATTTAGAAATCCATGTCTATCTTCTAAAAACAATGAAAACAAAAGTGGGTAACAATGATGTGTGTGCTCCACAAGCCTGAAATAGGAATCAGAAGAATTTATTTTTACCTTCACAGAAACACTTAATACTAACCACCTTAGGAAAGTTACCAAACCTCACTAAATCTTACAATCTCTAATGTGGGAATTAGAATAATTGCCTCAACAAAGTACACTATATAGAAATGTGAGGTAATCACCTGGGGTTGTAAGATATTGTAAGAAAGTATTAATAATACCTTTCTTCTCTTCCTTCTCTTGGTGGCACCTTCTTTTGTTTCCTTTGGTTTTATCAAGAAACATTCTTTAGGCTATAAAGAGATACAGATGGGTAAATTTTCATTTTAGCATCATTTTAGCATTTTCATTTAGCATTTTAGAATTTGAGAAAAATCAGAAAATGCAGATGACTTGAGATTGAGACATTGTTGAAGAAAGGTCAAAGTGTGTGAGGGAGTGTATATATATGTTTGAAGTGGTGGTGCAGGGTATTAAAGATTGAAGACAGTGGCCAGGTTTGTAAAACACTGGCAGAAATAGATGTGATTAAAATTAAGATGTGGTAAGAAAGTCTTTGACTAGTGTGACTGGCATTTTCCATGAACTAGTAAAGTGTGAGCCTGTATTTCCAAGCCATTGGTTTATTATTTTGTTATCCATTCCTTTTCTCTTTCAATAGGCACTGAAAAACTGAAGTAGGACATGTTTACTTACATTTTTACATGAACAGCTGCACCACATGCCTTATCTATAGTGACTACAAAATGAATGTTTCTCCTGACGTTCTGACAAAAGTCTCGGCAAAGGCATTCTGAGTAATCAATTTTGCCTGTTGCCTTGGCCCTTGAGTACCCTACACAGTTTAGTGCTATTTTTATCCTGAGGTTTGTGTGTGTGTGTTTTAATGTAGAAAAACAGGAGATTTGGATCAAGACTTAGATTTATAAAATAGAATGACTCAGACTCCATATTTATTAATCGTAAGTGGGAATATAAAATGTTTCCTGTGCTGGTTAGTTTATGCAGCATTTTCAAACAAGTTGCCAAGTAAGATATAAAATATAAGTGAAAACTTATTCTAAATTTTTCCTGGATTAAGTTTCCATTGTAACTAGAAAGTACTCAGTTTAAGCTGGTAAGCTACTAACTCAAGCAATCTTGTCTCCACTGGCTCTGTTTAAAATGATTACAGACGAAGCTTTCTATTAAAGTTTGCAGACAGCCTGCAGATTAAGAATGCTTATGGCCTGAAGCCAGATGTATGTATGTGTGTGTATGTATATATATATATAGCTACATAATTTCTTCAAGACACGGGGCCAGGACAAGCAGTTTCTAGACTGTTTCAGTTAGTAGAAAAGCAGATTCAAAAGGTTCAGGATTAAAGTAACAAGGAAATCTTGCAATTTTAGCTTCTTCTCAGTTAAAACAAACAAACAAAAAAACCTGCCAAAAGCAATTGCATCATAGCTAAAGAAAGAAAGATATTATGACCTCTCTTATTTAGAAAGTTAAGCTATCTTGTGGATGCAGATACATGCCAGTTTGATGCTGGTACATGCCAATTAGAAACTGGGCCAAGGCCACTAATATGTCACAGAAGCTGCCAGATGGTCATAAGAGTCCAATTACAGACTAGGCCCACATTCAGCTCATGCTCCTTAGGCAAAGGCCTGCATATGATTAGCAGATCCCTCAAGGCATACTGTAGTATCTTGTCACCAGTATCAAGGCTTTTGGGAAGCAGATGTAGAAACCTGTTTCATTTTGTCATCTAGCAAATGAGAGTGCTAAGAGTATGTTCAATGTGATGGGCTGTATTTACGTTGGGTTTACAAAGCCAGTTAACTCTAACATGACAAAAATTAAGCCTGGAAATGAGCTTGGTTATAAGGATATGGACTGTCCAATTCTGGAAGAAAAAAATAGAAACAAAATTCTGAATCATGCACAGGAAAAAGAAACATGGCTGATGAACTTCTTTAGTTAAAATATTGCATCAGGTTTAAATGTTAGGTTCAAATTCTTAGGTCATCTTAAGGGAAATGCATTATACTTTTTGTTTTCTGGGAGCAGTCACCTTATGTAGTTAATGTTGGGCACTAATGAAGAAGACAAATTGATGGGATCAATTTCCACAGAGGTGAGATGGCTTTATGTAGAAGTATGAGTCCACTGTATTAAAAATTCCTAAATTTAAGGAGCTGCCTTATAGATACTGATGTTTACCCTCAGAGGGAGTAGGTAAAAAGATAGAGAAGACTCAGGCCAGACTAGCTAACCATTTCTGGAAACTAATTCAACAGTATATGTCTTTGATAGTTGATAAGTAATGTTATTTCTTTATATGAAATTTAGTAATTTTTTAAAAACATAGCTTAAATATGTAGTTTAAATATTTAGAAATATATATGAAAAAAATAATCTTTAAGTGAAGCATGTGAAGTATATTTTTAATCCCTTAAAGTGTCAAAAATTATATCCTTTAGGAATGATACTTCTGGATAAGTATGACAAATCAGCCTCAAAAATACCACTAAACTAAAAGTGAAGGAAACTGAAAAGTGTGTAAATTTATAAGGACAATAAAATTGGGAAAACACAACAGTAGTGGAGAGATTTCAATAACATTTTGGAAAATGGAAAATCACTGAAACTGGATAGAAGTGATGAGCAGAAAGACAGAGCTAGCCCTTAGGTTTCTGGAGAGGTGAAAGCTAACAATAGGTGAGGTTGTTTGGCTTATTGGACTCTGAAAAGGTTCAGTAGCTGGAAGCACAAACTAGTATAGAGAGTGAGGGTTTAAAAGAAGGACATTGGTTGAAAGTTTATATTTAGAATGGTTAGCCTTATTCCCACCTCCCACTGGGCTGTATATCCTGCCCAGGCAGCCAACCAACTATCCGATTACTGCTTCCTCTCATCTTGCTCTTCCTGGCAGCAGACTGAAGGTTTATTCTCTGGAGAGAAGAAGAGGACAAAGAAATCTGGCACAGGGAAGACAGGGCAGAGGCTGAGACTCATTTCCTTTTTCTGTCCTTGTTTCAGACTGTCTTGGGCCAGACTTACATGCTGTATGTAAGAGACTACTGAACTTTTCTCTGGAAAATGAAATGGCCTATGAGAAATGCCACAAGAAAGTGACATTTGGGGGGAGAGCATAGTAAATACAGCTTGTTATTCTATTACCCTACTATGAAGTCCACTAATCAATGGGCCTCACGTATGCACAAAAATATTCTGTCATTTTTTAGTGTATCTCTTTTCAATATGAATAGACAGTTAAGGAAACTGTCCACACTGAGAGCAAATAACAAAAAGATAAAAAGTTCAAAATGATTATAATTAATATTGTCAGACACCTAACAGAAGAATTTGCAGTCATGAAACAAAAAGAAAACTAATAAGAAATATGGAATAAAAATTAGGAGGAAGGCTTGAAGATAAAGAAAATCTCCCAGAAAGATGAAAAATGGCAAGAAAATTAGATAGAGAATCAGTCCACGAGATTCAACATCCCAGTGAAAGGTATTATAGAAAAAGGGGCCATATAAAACACTGGGGAAGGAGTGGTCAAAGAAATAACACAGGAAGAACTTTACAGGACTGAAGGAAAGTTTCTAGAACGTGAAACTAAATTGAAAGTCCATAGATATACAATATAATGAATATGAAAAATACCCACACTAAGGAGCATCACTGCGAAACTTCAGATCATTATGGACAAACAAAAGACTAAAAATTTCCAAAAAAAAAATAGTAACATAGAAAATACAAAGAATCCAGAAAAAGAATTGTGTGAGACTTTGCAACAGCAATAATGGATGTTAGGGCTTAATGGAATAATGCCTTCAAATTTAGGAGGAAACTTTATTTGCAAATTAGACTTTTATACCCAGCTACATTATCAGACAAGTTAAGAGTAAAATAAAGGTATTCTCAGGTATTTAAGGTCTCAAAAAATTGACTTCTAACCCACAGATAAAAAAGGCTGTCTTCCAGCAAAATAAAGAGCTAAATAAAAAAAAGAGAAAGGTATAGGATTCAGTAAATAAAGAAACTAATCCAGGACAGTGTTGAAGGAACGGTAAAGACAAATCTCAATTGCTCACCAGACCAAGAGAATAACCAATTCAGTGTGGAATAGGAGTACAGAGGCCTGCAGGAAAGAACAATGAGTGATCTATTTGAGCATATGGAAAATATTATTCATGGACATGTGGAAAACATTGGAATATATGGAAACAATTAACAGTAGGAACACAACAAGCTAGACAAATGAAGAAATGAGGTAATTATTAGTGCCATAAAAACAAAAAGTTATGTAAGAAAGGAGGAATGATTATAGCTTTTCCCCCTCAGCACTGAAACAGTAGCTTCATGGTCATAACTGTGATACAGTGACAATGGTTTTAACCAGAATGTGATATTGTGTTAGCAAGGGAATGAGCAGTTAGAGAGGGAGTACGGAGTAGATGGACGAGATGTGTCCTCATATGCTACCTCAGGAAATTAAAACATCATATCAAGAGCTGGTAAATGAAAAAACAGCAGTATAAACAATATGTTAGCAAATAAGAAAAACAGGTAAAAGCTGAGGGTAGTTGCCTCTGAAGAAATACCTAGGATAAGAGTAGGAAAGGTGATGCTGTTTTCTTATGAAAAATTTATAATAGTGTTTGCTCATCACTTGAGTAAAAATAAAAAAAAAATTACATTACTATTTTACAACAAAAACAAGAACATTCACTGTAAAAATAGAAAAAAAAATAGAACTGCTGTTTTAGTTTCTTTTGGGTTTGGTCAAAAGTTATTTGGTACACACCCACCAAAATGTCCAAAATTAAAAGACTGATAATTCCAAATATATAGGATAGTGGGAATACAAAAATGATAGATTGGTTTTGGAAAAAAGTTGGTCAGTTTTTAGAAAACTAAACATGATTCAGCAATTCTACTCCTATGTATTTAAGAGATATAAAAATATACATTCAGAAAAAGACTTGTATATGAATGTTCGTGGCAGATTTATTCATAATAGTTCCAAATAGGACGTGGTCCCAGGTATCCATCAATAGAAAAACAGGGGTGCCGGGGTGGCTTAATTGGCTAAGTATCTGACTTCAGCTCAGGTCATGATCCCACAGTTCATGAGTTTGAGCCCTGTGTCAGGCTCTGTGCTGACAGCTTGGAGCCTGCTTTAGATTCTGTGTCTCCCTCTGTCTCTCTGCCCATCCCCTCCTTGTGCTCTCTCCTTCTCTCAAAAATAAATAAACATTAAAACAAAGGAAAAATAAATAAACTGTGGAAT